AACGAGCTCTGTGATAGTATTTACTAAACAAAATTGCTGTGAAAAATTGAATAAAATAAAATAAGGTCAGAACTCACTCAATGGCATGTGTGCCTCAGCTGGGAAATTATTGGTGCTGATGACAGGATACGCACAGGCGCAGTGGGAGTTCAGAGGTGAAAGTGAACTTGAAACGTGTTGCCTTATGTAGCACATCTCCCCTAGGGTATTCTTTACATAACCAATCCGCTGGGGAAGCTCCGCAGTCAGGGTTTTACTGTGATCTCTTGCAAAAGACGGTGCTTTTCGTTTGCTTGCCAGTCTCAACCAGAGTATGTAGCATTGCAGCAAGAACAAGAAAAACATGAGGAAAAAATCAGTGCACTAGGCCAGGTTTCCCAAGACCCCTTGAGAACAGTAGACATTTGCCTCTGGCTGCCAAGTTCAGTGGTGGAAGAGGCAGCCTGGCTTATCATCTCATGAAATGAAATGAGTTACACACACATTTGTTCCCAGCCCAGATTCAGAAGCCAGTCTGCATCCCAGCTCAGTAATTAGTAGGTGACAATTTGGCGATGTTGAGCCTACAGATAAAAAAGTCCGAGACTGGAGGCCGGCACAGGGATTTCTGGTCCTGACTTCTTCGTGGCCAGGCAAGTTGGGTCCATATTCCCCTCCCAGCCCCTTCCTCCCTCACTGGAGTTTGGGCAAAACGGCAGGGGCTCAGGAGTTTTCCCAGCTTCAGCCCTGATCTCCAGAGGACAATGATGGGGAAATGACCCAGTCACACGCTAGGTCCTCTGGGAAATCTTTGCTGATTTAAAAAAGCAGCACACTGCACAGCACAGGCAATAAAACGAAAAGGCAACCTACAGAATGGGAGAGAATACTTGCCAATTATACCTGATAAGAAATTCATATCCGAAGTTTATAAAGCTCTCATATGACCCAATAGCAGAGATACAAACAATCTGATTTAAAAATGAGCAACTGAATAGACATTTTTCCAAGGAACATGTACAAATGGCCAACCAGTTCATAAAAAGATGCCCAACACCACTAGTCATCAGGGAAATGCACACCAAAACCAAAATGAGATACCACCTCACATCTGTTGGAATAATTATTACCAAAATGACAAGAGATGAGTGTTGGCAAGAATGTGGAGAAAAGGGAACCCTTGTGCCCTGCTGGTGGGGATATATATTGGTGCAGCCACTGTGAAAAACAGTATGACGGTCCCTTAAAAAGTTAAAAATAGAACCATCCTAAGATCCAGCAATTCCACTTCTGGGTATGTATCCAGTGGAATCAAAACCACTGTCCTGAAGAGACATCTGTGCCCCCATGATTCTCGCAGCATTATTTGCAATAGTCAAGCTATGGAAACAGCTGACGTGTCCAGCGATGGGTGAGTGGGGAAAGAAAATGTGATAAATACGTACACACACACACACACACAGCTATGCTGGAGTATTATTCAGCCATAAAAAAGAAGGAAATTTTGCTATTAGCAACAGCATGGTTGGACCTGGAAGATGTTACACTAAGTGAAATAAGTCAGCCAGAGAAAGACAAATATGTTATGACCTCACTTACCAGCAGAATCCCTGAAAAACCAAACTCATGAAAACAGAGAATGGATTGGTGGTTGCCAGGGGCAGGAGATGGGGGAAATGGGGACAGGTGGTCAAAAGATACAAACTTCCAGGTATAAGATAAAGAACCACTGTGGATACAATGCAGAGTGTGGTGACTGTAGTGAATAACACTGTATTGTATATTTGAAAGTTGCTAAGGGAATAGAAGTGAAAAGTTCTCATTACAAGAAAATAATGTGTAACTATGTGAGGTGACGGATGTTAACTAAGCTTGTTGTAGTAATCATTTCATAATATATACACGCATCAAGTGATTATGTTGTACACCTGTGTTATGTGTCATGATATCTCAATAAAACTGGGAAAAATAAATAAAAACATAAGAATAAAAAATGTTTGAAGATAACTTTTTAAAGATTTTATTTATTCATTTTTAGAGGGGATGGGAGAGAGAAAGGAGAGAAACATCAATGTGTGGTTGCCTCTCGTGCGCCCCCTACTGGGGACCTGGCCTGGAACCCAGGCTTGTGCCCTGACTGGGAATCGAACCAGCAACCCTCTGGTTCACAGGCAGGAGCTCAATTATCTTTAGTAAGAGCTAAAGATAATTTTTCAAAGAAGGACACACAAAAAGAGAATACAGCAGAGGCAGAGGAGTGGTCGGAGCCCATAGAACTGACCGGGTGGGTAAGGGGAGTGGAGTGCTGGACTAGCTCAGCCGGGCTTCCAGAAAGCCGATTGTTACTAAATTCAGAAATTTTGCAAGCCATTCATTGAACCATCAGTAGCTTGAAATCAGCCATCGTGGGAACATATTTACCAGGAAAACTGGCAAATGCTACAAATCAGGGCTCCCCCGCCCCTCCAGATCTGATTTATCAGCTTCGAGGCAGGCCAGGGGAGCAGGTCAGCATGCAGCCCACAGAATCACTCCGACCTAGGTTACAATCCCAGCTCCACCACCTACTAGCTGGGTGACCTTGGGCATGTTGCTTAACCCCTCAGAGCCGATCTCTTTGTGTGTAGGTAGCACCCATGGATGTACCAGATACAGTTCTCACCACTTTATATGTGTTATATTCATTGATTCCTCACAGCAACCCTATAAAAAGGAAACGTATAATCCCCATTCAATAGATGGGGAAAATCAAGGCAAAAAGAGACTAAGGAGCCCTGGCCAGGTGGCTCTGTTGCTTGAAGCAACATCCCATGTACCAAAGCGGTTGGGAGTTAATTCCCAGCCAGGGCATGCACCTCAGTTGCAGGTTTGATCCCTGATGTTCTCTCTCACATGGATATTTCCTTCTCTCTCTTTCTCCACCCCCACCTCCCTCCCACTTCCTCTCTCTCTAAAATTAATGAACTATCCTCCCATGAGAATGTTTTAAAAAGAGGGCGAGATTAAGGAATTCAGCCATGACCCCACAGCTAGTAAGGGGTTGAGCCAGATACTGGCAGTCTGGCTTTGAGGGGTGTCCAAGCTTTCGGTGTCTCCAGACCCCACTGGAAGAAGAAGAGACATTTAACGTGTCTTGGGCCGCACATTAAATACATTGCAACACATAATCACAAAAGCATCACATAATGTTTTAAGTAAGTTGACAATTTTGTGTTGGGCCTCATTCACAGCCATCCTGGGCCACGTGTGGCCTGAGGGTCACAGGTTGGACACCCCTGTGAGCCTGGCCTCTCACCTTGCAGCCTGCGCTGCCCAGCACAGCAGTAGCCACTGGCCACACGTGGCTATTGAGCACGTGAAAGGTAGCCGAGAGGAAAGACGAGATGGGCTATTGGGCGAAACACACACTGGGTTTCAATGACTTAGTATAAAAAAAAAGAATAGAAAATATCTCATTAATACTTATACTGACTGCCTGGAGAAATGATACTTTGGATATATTGGGTTAAATACAATATGTTATTACAGATAAAGTTACCTGTTGTGTTTTACTTTTTTTAAATGTGACTGCTGGAAAATTTTTAATTAATTTAAAATTTTAAATTATAACGTGTGACTCCCATTACACTTCCACTGAAGAGTGCTGTTCCGTACTGATCTCATAGCTTCGTGTAAGTACTAAATCAATTAACACAAGCAGAGCACTGAGCAGTGTGCCAGGAAAAATCAACAGCCACTCGCTATTCTTAATATTAGTGACATCATTGGTTTTCAAATCTCATAGTTGCATTTTTTTCAAGCAACTTCTAACAGATAAAGAGGAGTGATTTATTAACGCTGGGTACCATCTCCACAGGTTGGAAACCCACAAGGTTCGCCGTCTTTTTTTTTTTTTTTTCTTTTATTGATTCTAGAAAGAGGGGAATGGAGGGAGAAAGAGAGGGAAAGAATCATCAATCAGTTGCCTCTTATACACACCCCGCCTGGGAACCGAACCAGGCATATGTCCTGACTGGAAATCGAACCCACAAACTTTCGGTTTGCAGGACGATGCCCAACCAACTGAGCCACACCAGCCAGGGCCAAGGTTCACCACCTTTAATTGTCCTTCAAGTTGTAGAATTGTGTGTCTGTGATTTCAGAAAAGGTAAAGAAGTGCTACTGGACAAAGTCAAGGTATCTGTGCCAGTGCTTTGAAAATGATCGTGGATATCACATGCTGTTACCACGAGAACGAAATGAGAATTCTGGGATACGACAGAGGTGTCAGCTACCACTGCACTGAGGGCCACACTGCAAACATACACGCACATCAAATCCACACACTGTGCACCTGAAACTTGCACACGGGTATATGTCAATTATAACTCAACAGAAATAATTAATTCACTGATTAATTAAATACCAAAACAATTATCACAGAAAAGTACTACGATTTTGCTTAGGGAACTCAAAGTGGCTTGTTCCCAAGCCTAGACCCTGTCCAGAAAGCAGGGTGCCGTGAGTGTGAATGGGGCATATGTTCATCTCTGGGGCCCCGGATCATTACCTGCACATGTTATACCTGTGCAGGATGGCACCTCCCCACTTCTGCTCCCGACCGCCGACGCCCCAGCCCCACAGACCCCGGGGGGAGAAGGCCCTAGCACTGGCTGCAGGCACCCGCATCACCAGGTCTAACTGCAGGGAAGGACATACGCTCAGTCCGGACCTGACAAAGAGCTTGCTGTCCTGAAGGCAACTCCAGGCTCCGTCAGCCCGGAGTCTGCGAGACCAGCCTCCCAGCTCTTCCTGCAGCCCTCGCCCTGGCTCTGGTATGTGTGTGCGGATGGGAACAGCAGCCAGCTCTTTGCCGGGCTCTCTAACAAGTTCCACGAGTCTGTTTGTTAAAGAAAAATTCCAGTGGGTGCATCCAACACATGGAACTCAAGTACAGAATTTATATTTATCCACCCCACTGCCAAGGAGATCACATGCCCCGTGAGTCACTCCAGATGTGCTCAAAAACAGAGTCTCTCTGTGGCAGCCCAGTCCCCCAATCCCAGCGAGAGTCGGAACCAAGAGGTCCCCACTCCCGTCCCCCAGGAGGCCGTCTCTGCCTCTACCTTCTGAGGAGGGAGAGGGCATCTGCTCTTCTGAAAAGGGAAGGGTGCTAAGAACTGTACGTCTCCCTGGGAGGACCGGTTTGGGCTCACCTGTAGCGGCTGGGCCCCCCAGGTTTGAGGGTACTTCTCACCTTCCTGGAGGAAAGGATGTGCTGGAAGCCCCTGCTGCTCCTGCTGCTGTGTTACGATGCTCAGGCCACTGTGCCCCACAGGTGGAGCAGGGGTGAGTTGTTCTTTATTTATGTGTCTGATGCTCAACATTCTTATGAAGAATTTGAGGGAGGGGTGGCATAGAAAGGGGGAAGGAAATTGGAAGCCCCACGCCCTCCTCTACCGATTGCTTTCTCCTTGTTGACGTCTGAGAAGGTGTTAAAGGTGAGGGGGGGATGATGGGGAAAAGGGTCCATGCCGCTGAGGGGACTTGAGCATCCCTCTCTGACATGCCAGAGAGAAGTCAGCTCGGTGGACAGGCTCCCTGGAGCGGCCCCTGGGCTGCTGCAGCTGGGCGGGGTGTGTCCAGGTCTGATCCCACACGACGGGACTGTGGGCGCCATTGGGCCACCTGGAGAGGCTGATCAGCAGAGGACACATCTTTCCAGCCACGTAGAGCTGGACCAGTGACAGGAGAGGAAGGGCAATTCTTCAGCATCCTCATGCCTACCTGTCTACTGCCCCCATGGGCCACCAGTCCCCCCTGATAAAGGAAGGCCCCCCCCCGCACCAAAGTGACCTTCAGGGCCAACTTCCCTCCCTGTGTTGTAGCTCCCCAGAACCGGCGTGCTGCCTTTTCTCTCTGCCCCAGGACCAGCTCCAGGTGGCAGGCGGTGGCAGCGCCTCCCGACAGTCACAGTTTAGCACTGTCAGAAACTGAGGGGCCCTGCATGCTGGCCAGTCTCTGCTGATCTGAACTGAAATCTTTCCTCCCACCACCTGAAGTCAGCTGAGGTCTCTCTCCCAGAAAGAACTGGAAAAAGAGGTCAGGTGCGTAGGGGTTTCTGGAGTCCAAACCAGGCTGAAGACGGGCACGGTGGCAGCGGCAGGAGCCTTGGATCTCCAAGCAGAGTGTCAGGGAAGGAAGGAGTGACCATGTGGGAACAGGGTGGATGGATGTGAAGGGGGTGGCGGGTGCAGGGCACGGCACTTACTCGGGGTTTTACTCCACCTGTTTGAAGCCTGAGATTGAGGACTTGCCAGCTCTCTGAGCTGAGCAGTGAAGTGATAGTTGCCCTGGGGCCAATAATTAATGCAGCCTTTTCCTCTATTCTGGTAAGACCCTTACTCACCCACCCTCCCTGCTCCCGGTGGGCGCAAACCCGGGGGCGACCCTTGGAAGCAGAGAGCAAAGAAACACTGAAGTCAGAATCTCCCATTTACCCCGCGTGACAATGGGGGCTTTACTTAATTCACCTGTAAAAAAAAAAGTGCTAAAGCCACTCTTCCAACACACAGCTGTGAGAAAGCCAATTGAGGTGATCTGATTGGTAAGGAGGCTGGTAAACATGATAACCACGTCGTGAGCGAGGCCTCGAGGGGCCCGGAGATTTGAGTTCTGCCTCTAATGGGCCCAGTGACCCCTGGCTCACTAACAGGTAACTTGTTAACGGGACCAAAACTCCACTTCTGTGTGTCCTCATGAGGGTCCGATTCAGAAATGTCAGTAAAAAGCTTTGTAAACCATGAAGCACTATGTATATGTGAACCACTTAAAAGTGAAATAATTTCGTTAAAGAAAGCTTAAGATCCTCAACAGACATATCTACAGCCACATCCTGGCCCCACCCGGTCCTCGCCGGGGCAGGTCTGCCCCGGTAACAATAACAATCTTGTCAGAGACCGGCGGCTGCACAGTTGAACCAGAGGCCGCGGCGCCGCCGCTGATAATCGCTGGATTAGCAATTCACGCCGCTATTCAGTCAACAAATGCCATGGAGGCCCCGCAAGCGCCATGGAAAGTCTCCCCACAGCTGGTCTGTGGGGTGACCAGCTTTTTTCTCACTTTAATAGGAATATACAGTTGATATCTTTTTTCAAAGACAGCATGGGGGTCACACCCAAGTAAAAACCGTTTTTCTGCGTGTCCTTCCTGTTCCCTTCACCTTCACCCTTAACCCCATCCCCACCCATATGCGGGCCTCACTTCGGAGAATTCCCTCTGGGAACAGTATCAGGGGGACCGCCCCCTAAAACAGCCTCCTCCTCTGCAGCCCCCCGCACCCCCTCACCACCACCCGGCTTCCGCCCCCCCCCCACCCTCCACCCCTGTGCCCACGAGTAGAAGTGTAGAAATAAACCCAAACGGAATACACACTGCCGTCAGGGCTCCGCTTTTCCTACCTGGCAGCCTCCGTAAGACGCGCTCTCTAGGATTCGGCCCTGGGAGGTAGCTTTCCGCAGGCCAGAATCGCTGCTCCAGCCCCACTCACTTGATTGAGTGACTCACCTGTGGTCAGCGGGGCCAGCCCGGGGGACTGCACACACCTGGCTCCCATCCCAGCCAACGCCAGCTCCTACCACAGCAAGGCGCCCCCCAGGGGCTGAAGGGAACAAGCCGGTCTTTTTTAAAAAAAGAAATCTATGCCTTAACCACTATGTAAATATCTGTTTTTATGAAATACCTATACATTATGTCTTTTCAAAGCAGTTTAATGGGGAAGGGAAGCCCTGCAGGTATGGGGGGGGTTTAGGTCATTTTCAGGGGTCCCTTTTAGTGTTGTGCGAGTTTTCAGTCGATGAGCGAAGGGAAGGGCCTGCCGTGGGTGTTGAGGAAGGACTGACGGCCTGGGAGTAGTGGCATTGAGTACACCTCGGTCAGAAGCAGATGCGTTCTGCCCACACACAGGTAAGAACCCTGGACTGAGGCAGCAAGCAAATGTGCCCCAGATCACTCAGCAGCAAGGTCAGAGCTGGGTTTCGAGGCCCCCACTCACCCACCCCAGGCCTATAGCCTCAGAGTCTCGCTGTCCTCCACCCCTCCCGCCCCTCCCCACCGCTCCCAGCAGCCCAGGCCCCCCTGGGTGGTGGGTGTCTGGCCAAAGGGAGCTGACGCACAGAAGCCCTTCCAGGAGCACTCCCGTTGGACCCCAGCACCCGGGCCAGGATCCTGGCTCACTCGGAATATCACTGGGTTTCTAAAGGGCTGGCCCAGGAGCCAGAGTCCATGACATCAGTAGGGCCTGGCAAAAGATCTTTTATAAACCACAGCATTTCCTTTCCACACCCACTGCCTTTTCCATAGAGTTGCTGCAACTGATTCATTAAAAATACAGTTGTATTTTGGCCTGAAAAGGCCAGCAGTCGGAGTCCTGTTCAGCAAGCTCTTTGGTACGAACACTGAATGAATGACAGTAGAAATGGCGCTTAGCCTTAATACTGCCCTGTTATAGGGAACCCACTGGGCGATGGGAGGAAAGAGGAGGTAATTTTTTTCCCAGACTATAAAAAGTCAGACAAAGGTCAGGCTCAAAGTGAAAACAGCTCCTTCGTTTAGGGAGGTTTCTGCCTGTATGTCTAAGCAAGAAAGCTTGGATGGGCTCAGGCGCTGGGGAGACAGGTTCTAGCCTTGATGAGAGCGTTAAAAGTAGCTTCCCCTGAGCCCTGGCGGGTTAGGTCAGTTGATTGGAGTGTCGTTCTATTACGCCAGGGTCGCGGGTTCTAATCCTGGTCAGGGTAGAAGCAATCAATGAGCGCATAAATAAGTGGAACAACAAATCAATGTTTCTCTCCCCCTCTCTCTCTAAAATCAATAAATTAATAAGAAAATTTTTAAAATAGCTTCTCCCAGGCTAGAACAGGGGCTCCTTGGAGATAAAGTCAGGGCATAGGAGACAACATCTACTTTCCGATCATTAGCTGGGACCTATCACTACAAATAAGTTCTAAAAGTGCCCTGATAAAGATTAAGTGACACACTCTGTTTGAAAAGGATGGACTTTGGTGACAAATGTAGTTAATGTATTTCTATGGAATCGTTTATTCATTCAACAAACAGTCATGAGCAGAATGCTAGGCCCTGGGAATACAGCGACCCCAAAGGACAACATCCCTTCGTGGTGCTGACATTCTAGTCAGGAAAAGCAGACCCCAGACACACACAGAAAGAAAACGTCTGGTTTGTTGGATGGCAGTAACGTAGGGACAGCTTAAAGGGGATCGAGGATTATAATTTTTTCATTTTTTCAAAAATTTTTATTCATTTATTATAGAGAGGGAAAGGGAGGAAAAAAGAGAGGGAGAGAAACATCAACCAGGTACCTCTTTTGCGCCCCCTGCAGGGGACCTGGCATACAACACAGGCACATGCCCTGACGGGGAATTGAACTTGCAGCCTTTCTGTCTGCAGGCCATCACTCAATCCACTGAGCCACACCAGCCAAAGCAAGTATTATAATTTTAAATACAGTAGTCAGGGAGGGCCTCCTTGAGGAGGTGACTAAAAAGTAAAGGCAGAAGGAACAGAAGTGCCAAGGCTAGTGGCAGAAGATGCCTGGGGCACTCGAGGGACAGTGAGAAGGCCCATGGCTGGAGCGGCATGAGCCGGGGGAGAGGAGCAGGTGAGCTCAGACATAGCGAGGACTCAGGTCAGGCAGCACCTGGTGGCTGTTCGAAGAACTTTGGCTTTTCCTCTGAATGAGATGGGAAGCCATCAAGGGCTCTGGAGAGGAGAGTAACACGACCGACCTGTGTTCACCCAGAATCACTTCAGTTGCTGTGTTAAGAATGAAGGCAGGAGCCAAGGACGGAAGCAGAGGCACCATTAGGAAAGGGGCCCCAGGTGTGGACGAGGGAGCCAGCAGGGACGTGGCCAGAAGTTGCCAGATTCCAGATCTGCTTTGAAGGCGGAACCAACAAGATATGCTGATCAGTTGGATGTGGGATGCAAAATGAACAGTCAAGGGTGACTCCCAGGTTTTGGGCCTGAGCAACTGGGAGAGATGGGGAAACAGGAAACAAAGCAGGAGACGTGTGTGTGTGTGTGGGCACTCGTGTGTGCATGGATCTGTGTGTGCATGCATGTGTGTGTGCATGGATGTGTTTTGGGAGCTGGGATTGGGCTGGGAATCAGGAGAGAGAACTGTTACATGTCCAAAAGGAGATTCCCATAGGCAGCTGGATGTATGCGTATAAAAGTCTGGCCCAGAAATAAAACGCTGAAAGTCAGCAGGGAAGTGAGGGAAGAGGCAGCCCCAGATGAGGCCAGAACTCTGCAGCCTGAACGGGCTGGGAGGAGGAACAGCAGCCAACGAGGGGGATTGTTCTTTTAAATAGAAGAAGTAACATGCTTTCATGTTAATGTGGAGGATCCAGTGGAGAGGGGCAAAGTAACCGTGCAGGAGGGAGAGGTGGAGAGGTGGGCAGCATTTTTCTTGGAGACTTCACGCACGTGCAAGAGTTGGGTCTGGACGGGAGAGGCCACGCCGGAGCAGACCTCAGTACCTGCACAAGGGGCGGGTGACTGGTTGAAGGAGCAAGAAGAAGGGGTGAGATCATTGTCTATTTCAGGGTGAAACAGAGAGAGAGGAATCGGGAAGGAAGGGAATTGGTCAGGCAGGATGGAAAGGCCCGTGTGAAAACACCATCTGAATTTCAGTGAGACCAAGGTCATGTTTGCCACCAGCCACATTCAGGTGTGGAACAGGTAAGGAGATGGGTTGTACCTGATGTCAGGTTAGATCACAAAGCAACACAGAGGGACAAAGGAGGTGTGGATATGTGTAAGAGTGAGGTCCTATTTGACCTGGCATATCACGTGATAAATTTAAACGGGTCTGTTTAAATATGATTTATGCCATATTTATTCATTCACTCATTCCCAATTAACATCATCCTTCCTGGAGTAATTGAGAACAGAGGACACCCAGTCTTGGGGCAGACGTGCCAACGAAAAGACAGCACTGCTCGCCTCACTGGCGAGATCGGGTTCTGGGGCCCATGAGATCTGGGTTTTAACTTCAGCCCCATTGCACGCACACTGGACGGCCCAGGACAAGTTTCCTGACCTCCAGGTTTCTCCATGTCTAAAACGGGGTGTGAATAGTTACCCCACAAGGTCCACTGGGGAAGCACAAACACGTTGGCGGGCTCACAGTGGGCTCATGAGCCGTCATCACATCTGAGCTCCACATTTCAACAACTTCAGCCCGAGCTCCAAATGTGGCTTTCAGCAGAGGACATGGGCAGAACATGCTGTGACACATTATTCCTGCATGTCTGGGTCCAATTTGGGGGCTCAGTGCGTGTGGCACAACCTTTAGCCAGTGAATCATCTCTTCTGTGCTGGTCTGTCCAAGGAATTGCAAACAGTCCGTTTCTGCCTGAGTCTCATCTGTCCAGGGCCTGGAGGACGAGGGAGAGGGTCACAGGTCCCCACCCCAGGCCAGCCCATGCAGCAGCCCAGCATACAGAGCGACGTGTGAATCTCCTGTGTCCCCTGGAGCCACTGAGTGACCCTTGTGGCACAGTCACATCCTGTAGAAAGTGCTGGAGAGTGGGCTGGGTGTGGAGCACTGAGTGGGAAGAAAAAAAAATCAGCCCAGCTTTACACCCCAAAAATACACAAAGTCAGCAATTTCGACAAAACTGTCCCAGCAATCTTCTTGCCAGAGGCTTTAATGCTCAAGGTGGTGCCTGGGCGGGCGTGGGGTGCTTCTGCCAGTCCCTGGTCTCCCCAGCCCACCCCCATCTCTCTCCTCCCTCAGGGAAAGGGTCCTCGACCATGACAGTCAGTGGGGGTGGGGCGTGCGGCCTCCCTCCTCTCTGCCCTGCGAACACTGTGCTGCTCCATGGCCGCTGCGAGCAGGGAGCTGAACTTAACATGACCTCCGTAAATCTGGGAGATGGGACGGAAGGGAGAGGAAGCAAACCCAGCGAAGCATGGGTGGAAGAGTCCCCAGGGATGTCCTGTTCTGTTGTTGCCTTTTTTAATAGCTGATGTTTTCAAAATCATTCTAAAGCACAGCTATTGAGCCTGCACTCAGGGCCCAGCTTCAGCAGACACCAAGGTCAGGGACAGGAAGCAAGAAGCCTGCTTCCCTACCAGGAGCTGGCGAGAGTGGGCAGGACCTGAGACACGTGGGACGACCGGAAACCACGAAGACAGCAAAGGAGCAACAGCGAGTGATGGGCTCCCCCGGAAAGGCTTCCTGGGGGAACAGGGCTGCTGTTCTCACTGAGTGGGAGCGAGCCAAGTTTTGAGCTTTGCATGCATGCTTCTCGGGGCTGGTCAGCCATGCTTCCACCATTTGCATTTCTGGCAGGGTCCTGACTTCACCTTTATGGGCAAAAACATCTGGGGTGACTGTATGGTGAACTTTGTGGCCAACTGTTAAGACATAGAACAGACACAACCTGCAGCATCTCCGAGGAAGGGAAATTCATCCTCGTCCCATCCATCAGGAGCAAGCCCAGAGCTGCATTTCCGCAGCCCAAGGGGCAGAGAAGCCCCTGCTGGACACACGCAGTAGAAACCCACATGGCAACAGGAGGGACGACGGGAGGGGAGGTGGTACCTACAAAAGGCAGGTGGGGGGTGGGAGGAGAGAGGGGCCGTCTTTCAGCCTCCTGTGGTCCCCACGCATTTTCTGAAGCAGCCATCCGTTCCCTGGCTCCTCTAGAGGCTGAAGCTATTTCTAACAATCTTCCCGAACTGCTATTATTTTTAAAACGATGAAAACAAAGGGTATTAGAAAGAGGTTTCCATTAGAACTCAGTTTTGAATCAGGAACTATTTTCTTCCCACCTCGGAGAACTAGGGCTGCCCCTGGGGTGAGCAAGTTGGAGAATCGCTGTTCCCAGGGGAATGAACAATGAAGGAAATGCCAAGGAGCCCCGTGAGTACCTCCCCTGAGAGGCAGCCACTATAGAGTTGGGGTGACGGGCAGCAGAAAGGGCTCAGTGCCCCACCAGTCCCCGTCACCTGCCGGGGTGTGAGTATATTAAGGGAACTCATACCTTTAACTCCACAATAAGAGAGAAATGCTGGGAAAAGAATTAAGAAGTTGCTCTCAGATTCTGTCCCGAGAAGAGGGTCCACCCACCCTTTCACGAGAGGGACCCACATCTTGGTCTCGGACCAGTTCTGGTCCTCGTGCTGTCTCCCAGTAGGGAGAAGGCGGGATCCAGGTACTCACCCTCTTCTAGTGCCTCCGGTGTCTCTGCTGCTTTGCCTGGGTCTCTTGGGATGGCCCTGTAAGGCCTCAGAGGGGAGGACGCTCTGCATTTTGCCACCACGCCCTTGGCTGTGGCTCTGGACAGCCCAACGGTTACCAGCCCTGCCTGCCCAATACAATCACCCGGTAGCCATGAAAAGTCCCGATGCCTGCGTCTACCCCAGAGATGCCCATGAACTGGCCTGGGAGGTGTCGTTCGGCATTCGGGTTTTTTAAAAAAACTCCCAGGTGGTTGTAATGCGCCCTCCTGGGCGAGGCCCGCTGGGCTGACCTGAGCGTGGCGGGACAGCCGGGGCAGCGCCCTCTGCCGCTCGGCCGCGGCTGCCACTGGAAACACCCAGGAAGCTTCTGAGAACCTCCCTGGCCCAGTTGTCATCTAGTTCGATCGAACCCAAACATCTGGAGCCGGGACGCGGGCCTCAGCCTGTTTTAAAGCCCTTGGGGCGTCCACTGTGGTTGAGGAGGACACGCCTCTCTCTTCTGAGTGCCCCCTAAAACAACAGACCGGAGGCAATGAGTGGGCAGAGGCGAAGCCCCAAAATCTCTGGTTCTGTGGGGAATAGGCACTTTGCTGGCAAAAAAAGAACCCATTCTGTTAAAATGCTAGGCTACAAAATGCCACCCTGGAGGTGACTGGCTCCTTCCCCACAGTTGGGGAAGCAGAGGTCCCCCTCCCATCGGGGCCTCCCTCATGCGTGGATTTGGTTGGCCAGAGACGGTGCCCTGCCCACAGCCCCCTCGCAAGGCTGGGAAGCCTGCCGGGATCTGCTGGGGGTGCGGAAACCTAAGGCCGTATTTAGGCGAACCACAGAGGGACCTGTGGTACAGATAATAAATGAGGACGGAAAAGCACTATTCCAGCAATACCCCACCCAAGCAGTTTTTTCCAGGAAGCGGGAGATCCCTACCACTCAGCTTTCCAGGAAATGTCTTTCTATCGAAGATGTGTCATTTTTACCACTTCAACTCAAGTTGTTTTTCTAAAATGCTTATGCCTTCTTTAACACAGTACACTGGACATCCCTGGGCCCCAGGACACCGTCATTAAGAAGCAGAGCTGTTGTGCCTGGTTATGCAAGTTACGTTTTGCACAACTTCAGGGGGCGCTCCCTATTCACCTCCAAGTCTCAGATTTTTTTTTTATAGTTAGTTACCCAGTTTCCTGGGAGATCACAATGCAGTGTCTTAAAGAAGCTGTAAATTTTTCTGTTTTTTTTAAAGATATGATTTCTTTTAAGTACTTCCAAGACATAAATTCCTCAGATGGTAGAATGTGTCCATTCTGCTTCTGGGCCCAAGACACCAAGCCATATAGAGAACCTTCCTTTCTTATGTATGCATTTGAAAGCATCTCCTGTAACATGAGGCGTCACCCAAACCACTCTATACAGTTCTTTATGTTTTGCTTTTAATTGCTGTGCTGGTGGTCAAGCCCAGTCAGGACTCAAATGGTTATTTTGAAAGGCAGCATACTGCACAATGGCCATTTCAGATCAAGGGAATCTGACTTACGCTTTACTATTTGACAATTACCTTACGTGCAAGAAGCTGTACCTTTTTCTACCAGCTGGCAGCGGGCTTGCCGATCCTGTCTGCACAGCGCCCATGAGCACAGAGGGGCCATGGGGTGGCTGGGGCTGTCTGCTTCCAGCCTGATAGGACCCCAGAAAGCTGCAATTGATAATGATTATTCCTTTACCTGGTAGCATTCTGCATTCTCCTTCACTAGTCCTCAGTAAGGTCCTAATTCTCGCTACCTTCTCTGCCCGTAGCAGCCCAGCCATCTTCCTTCAGCTACTGATTCTAAATGCAACCACAAGAAACAGCATTAGCAAGTCACTGACTGTCCCCAAATGCATTTCTGAGTCTGCTGGCCCTTTCGGGAAACCCTGAGTCTAGGTGCCACATACCTAGAGCCATGTGTCAGATTCTTTCTGTTTTAATCTTCACCTGAGGATACGTTTACTGATTTTAGAGAGAAACAGAGAGGAGAAAGAGACAGGGAAGGAAGAAGGGAGGGACGGAGAGAGAGAGAGACACCCATCAGTTGCCTCCCTTACTCACCCCTGCAGAGGTTCAAACCTGCAGCCTTTTGGTGTTTGGACGACGCTCCAACCAGCCGAGCTACCTGGCCAGGACCACGTGTCAGAGTCTGGGGCAACTCTCTTCCTCTTCACCTGTGTTCCTGTTCTTGGCAGCCAAATTCCAGAGGGCTGGTGAACAGCCAGAAGTCTCACCCTCTGATTAAAAGGGCTGCCATTGCATATAAACCAGCACTTCATGCGGACGAAGTGCTAAAATGTGCATTGCTGTTAGAGGACAGTATTACTCGGGACGTGTTTGTTGAATTGGGAGGGGCTTGTTGTCCGCTCACTTCTGTTTTATGGTAACATGAGTGCCCTCGACATATAGGTGTGAGGCACAAGGAGGCTTCCGGTTGTGGGTGCTTGAAACACAGTGAACAGAGCGCATGTAACCATCATAACCTGCATGTCTTCTTCCGTATGACACCGCAAACCCACCTCTGCTCACCCCTGTTTTCTGGGATGAGCCAGGTTTGAAACCACTGGTCTGAAATGGTACCACCTGCCACGCCTGGGAGCTCCTTGGGACTCCAGAGTTGTCCGTCACCTCCCCTGCTTTATGACCCCCACAACTTCAAATCGTCACTTTCAAGCCTGGCTGGCTGACCTCAAGGTTACAGGAGGGGAGGCCAAGGGCATGCAGCCCCCGGAGCTCATTCTCTTGTTTCTTGCAGCTGTGCTCTTCCCTGCAGCCCATCGACCGAAGAGGTCCTCTTCCATGCCCTTGAACCCCGTCCTGCAGAACTCCCTGGAGGAAGTAGAACTGCTCTATGAGGTAGGCACAGGTGCCAGTGGCCACGCCACCCCAAAGGCATTGCAACTTTTCTGGTTTTTGGAGAAATGATCAGAGCTCCTGAAAATGAGTGTCGTCTGCTGCCCTAGGGACCATCCTAGACTCCTCTGGAGGCCACCACGCCCTGGCCTTCCCAAAGTGCGGTGTTCTCATCTCTCCTCTCCTTCCCCACATGCCGTAACTGGGGATGACGGCTTTAAGAGGAGATAGAGGTGAAGTCAGATCTACGTTTGCCCCTGCCCGAGTGCCCCAGCAGCAGAGTGGGCCATGGTCTCAAGCAAACACTGGGAGGCAGGGTTCGTCACAGGATCCAGGCAATGCCACGCTGGGTGTCTGAGTGAAGCCCTGTCTCCAGTAATCACCTACCGTGACAGCCCAGGTTCTGACCGTCTGGGGCCACCCCAAGGGCTGTCCCCCTCTGCCTCTCACACCTCTGCCACACAGACCCCACTTCTCCAACCACAGGTCAGTTTCCCGAAGCCACTTCATTTGGTTCGGTGATAAAAGTCCAGGTTCAAGATCAGAATGTTAGTTCTGGTTCTGCCCCCCATCAGCTCTGTGACCTTGCAGGAGCCCATGTCTCTCTGGGCCCGAATCTCCTCACTGCCCTCCTGCCTTGAGGTCCTCCACGTGCCAGAACTACCCGACTCAGACACAGCCTGCTGCAGCCAAGCAGTGGAGTCTGGGGGAGGTTTCAAGTCCTACCACAGGGAACAAACCGGAAAATGCACAGCCTTCCCCATGCCTTGAACATGGGGGTCATATGGACAGATCTGATTTGGAAAGATAATAGTAGGATGGAGACAGATTTGTAACTGGGGAAAGCTGGAAACAGAGATAAGAGTTAGAACCCCAAGTCTAAGAGGATTTGCTAGGTTCCTGGGAGGAGCCCGGCTGAGCAGGGCATGCGGAGGCCAGGCCCCACCCTGACTCTTAAAGAACAGGTGAGGCTTGGGGACAAATCTCTGCATCCCACTTAAGTCCTAGCACAGTTCTCTACATCCTTCGATCCCCAGCTTCTGATTTAAAATTATCCAAAATAGTCAGTTCATGCTTTAGAAGATCCTCAGTGGCTGGGAAAGAGAAAGGGAAGAATGGGTTAATCTGGGACACCAGACATAATAAGTAGGCATTAAATAGTGACTTTGTACCAGGGACAATGTTGGATGGTGTCTGTATTTGTCTTACTTACATCTCACAATAGACCGGTAAAGTATTTTGTTACTAACCATTTCACAGAGGAGGGAAATGAGGCTCAGAGAAATCAGTAGCTCCTCCAAGGTCACACAGCCGGTGACAATGGCACACCTGGAGCCTAGGTCCCTTGGGTTCTGAAGCTTTTGCCACCGCTCCCTCCCCAGGCAAATGCAGGTGATACTGAAAACAGTGACGTCCTCAGCAATGCCCAGATGCTTCATGTGTTTCCGCCTCTTGTGTTTCTGACCAGTTCCTGCTAGCTGAACTTGACATCAGCCCCGACCTGGAGATCTCCATCAAGGATGAGGAGCTCGCCTCCTTGCGGAAGGCCTCGGACTTCCGCGCCGTCTGCAACGGCGTGATCCCCAAGCACATCCCAGACATCCGCCGGCTGAGCGCCAGCCTCTCCAGCCACCCCGGCATCCTCAAGAAAGAGGACTTTGAAAGGACAGCGCTCACCCTGGCCTACGCGGCCTACCGCACAGCCCTGTCCCAAGGGCACCAGAAGGACCTCTGGGCCCAGTCCCTCGTCAGCCTTTTCCAGGCCCTGAGGCAAGACCTGGTGCGGTCCTCAGGCTCCAGACTGTCTCCCTGAGAGACCCGCCCACAGCAGGACTGCCCCGGCAGGGCCCAGCACAGGCTGTAATCCAGAAATTCTTCATTCTCCACTCCATTTACAGAGGCCGGCATCAAAACACATGCCTCCACCTCGGAGCAGCAGAGATCAAATAGCGAGGCCCCATGCTCTTTACCCACTGCAGCTCCCTGACGAGCACACCTGACTCACGTCATACTGTGACCTGGGCTATAGAGTAGTCATTCCAGATGTCCCCAGAGGCCGAACGGGTTGCCCAGTGACATGCAGAGTCGCAGATACACACTTTGACACTGAGTAGCTGCCATAAACATGCAAGAGGGAGGACAGAGCTGGAGGAGACGTGGTAGAGCCCAGTGGAAAGACCAGGGACAGATTTCTTTGGCCCTGAGAAGTCAGAGTGCTGGGTCGAATGAACATTCTTTCTGAAGGTTCGGTAGTAAGATACACAGAAGCCAGAGATGCAGGAGAGCAAACACATTGTCAGCCCAGGATCTACTCCTCAACTTTTCTAAAGGTCACCGAGAAGAATCGGGCAGAACGTTGGTGATTGTACGACCCGTATGTCTCGTGTCTTCCTATGTGAAGGCCCCTTCACTACACACAGCCAGGCCCAGTCTTTTGAACGGAGAAGCCGGGCTAATGCGGACAGGGCCGTCCTCACACAGAGCGGGCAGCCACAGCCTTGCTCTCTGTCGTGATGCTCAAATCACCTAGGACCATCGGGGAATGACATGCTCCCAATAAAAATGATTTTCAGATGACAGATTTTTACCCTTTCAAATGCCAATTTTTCATTTTAGCGATAATGGCTCAATGGCTTTGAAAACCACACATAAGAGGTGCCTTCAGCTCTCATTTGGTGTCTGTGAAACACTGAAATGAATGAGCTGGATACGATATTTTCTAAGACTCTTCGACTTCTGAGATTCTCACGATCGTTGAACTAATGATTGTGATAATGTAATACCCCGTGAGGTATTACAAGGAGGACCCCGGACCCAAGAGGCCTGCTGGACTGTTTGTAGCAACCGTGGACGTTCCCAGGCTTTGCTAATTCTGCACTGGGGGGTGAGTTTTTCTGCTGCCTTCCTCGCCATCAGGCTACAAGCGTGCACTTTTCTTGCCCTTTGCTTTCTGTTCCGTGCTAAATAAGAGTTAATAGATGAAGACCTCTGCTAGGAGTGAAGTACCTGGGTTCTAATAGACTCCTCACTGCTCTGGCCAGTGTGGCTCAGTGGCTTGGAGAGTCATCCTGTAACTGAAAGGTTGTGGGTTCGATTCCTGGTGCAGGTGCACATGAGAGGCAACCAGTTGATGCTTCGCTCTCACCTCAATGTTTTTTTCTCTCTTCTTTCTAAAAGCAATGAAAAAAATGTCCGTGGGTGATGACAAAGAAAATTTTTAAGATTCCTCACTAGCTTAGAGGTCTTTCTGGCTTCTCCTAGGTGTACAGTGTGGGCCAGGAGGCTGATGTCACAAGCAGTCTGATCTTTGAACGAGTGAGGATTCACTGGGCTAACCTTGATCTTGAAACAGGTATTTAACAACTGTCACTGGGTGACGGCAAAAGCTGGCCTGGACTTCTTCAGGACTGGACTCGCTCAATCTTTGAACGAGTGAGCTGGGCTCAGCAGCACCAGCTGCGGGACCTTTTTGGAGAAACACTGGAATGCTAGGAAAACACGGCCTTGCATCCTGATGTCCTCAGGCTTAGAAGACTCATGACACACACTCATTTATCCCCTGATCAAACTGCGCATTTACCTCCCCCAACCACAGGCCGACATAGGCTTTTTTGCTCAGCTTTTTTCTTTCTAATGTTACCTGTTCTCTTTAATGGTCACTGCGCTGGTCTCCCTCTTTTTTCCAAGTGCCAGTCCATGCCTCTGCATTCTCCCTTGGGGCCCGATTCTGATTATCTTTGCAGTTGTTTCTCGAAGCCGCTCCAAGTGGCCGGTGGCTGGCATCAGCCAGCCCGCATCCATGCTCTGAGCTCACTGGCTTTAGGTCTCCTTTGCACATCACTGTCTGGCTAGAACAAAAGTCAAGGTGGAGACACAGCCCGGATTGCCCAGCAGGCAGACTTAGCCTTACAATCTGCCTTCGCTGTTTGTACTACTTGTCCTTGCTGGGGAGCGGGGAGGGGCTCAGCAGAGGCCTCAGTCTCTAGACGCTGGACAATAAACACTCCACCCCACCAGAAGGGGTCTGAGAGCCTTCAGTCACCAGCTAGAAAGACCCACCCTGTGGTCCCTGGTCTCCATGTCCTGATATGCACAGCTGCTCCCAGCGCGGGGAGATCTGTGAATGGCAGGGAAGGTTCCCAGACCAGGGACAGCAATTGTGGTTCACTCACCCTATAATGAAAAATTAAAGGCACTTTCGTACTCATAAATCAAAGCCCACATTTACGTGGTAATTCATGATGGGAGAAAAAATAGAAACAAGAAAGGCATGACTTTCTTTAAAGACAAATGAAAATTTCAATTTCAGTGACTAGAGGCTCCTTATAACACTATTTTAGTCTGGCTACAAATGAATTGTTTACCCCACAGAAAGTTTTATAACAATGACTTCATTTATATGCAAAATCAAACATCATGCTCACAACTGCCACCCCAAAACCCGCCTCTCTGCCCCCGATGAACAACAAGGTAGAAGCCTGGACAGAAGTAGAATCTTCCATCTTGCCTCCTGAATGCTACTCTGTACATGACAAAATCACGAACCAAGCCACAGGTTGCCATATTTACTCACAAACAGAATAATTTCGGGTGTGATGTTTGTAGTGGGAACTTGCCTGTGACTTAGGGAACCAATTGTGCCGTTTCTACATTGCTGGGAAATTTGAGGATCTAGAAATTCTGGAAGTTTCCTCTAGAGATGGCATCCCCATGGTTACTTACCTCCGGTGGCACTCAAAAGAGACACTGAAAAATACCCATGTGCCAAAACTTTGATTGCTCTGGTGCCTCACCTTGAATCTCACTGAAAGAGAATCGCGTAAGTGGCAAATCAGCCAGAAGGTGTTTCTGCAGGTAAACTGATCTGAAATCAAATGCTCGTTCGATGACTCTACACAACACCCCTTACTTTCCTAAACCATTTTCATGTCTTATTCTTTTTACTATAGAAAACATGCATGCACACACACACACACACAATGTAAATTTACCATCGAACCATTTGTAAGCACACAGTGGTGTCACTTAATGCACATTGTCCTGTGACAGATCTCTAGAACTTCTTCATCCAGGACGAATGGCATCTATGGAACAGTAATTCCCCTCTTCCCTGTCCCCCAAGCCCCCGGCAACTACCGTTCCATGTTATGTTTCTAAGAGCTTGACTACTTTCAACACCTCGTGTACGTGGTATTTGTCTCCCATTTCTTAAGCCTTGTCCTCTGGAGAATGTTTTCTTCATCTGAGAAGTGGACAGAGATCTGAAGAACTACTGGCCTGACTGTGTCATTCCCTTTACCTAATTTTATTGAACAAATGTTTACTAATGGTGGAATAAAGATGTCATGATGGAGTTATTGGGCTTCAGTGGAAATCTTTTGTTATCTCAGATTACCTCACCACGGAATTTAAAGTGGCTCGTGGGTTTAACCGCAATGTTGATTTCCACAGCCATTTGTGATTATCTGGTCTGTTTAATATTCGCCACCAAAATCTCACACATGTGTCATCGTTCATTGCGAGTTTCAAAATCAGCACAAAAATAAGGTCCGAATGTAGTAAACACAATGGCCTTTAACATGCATTTAAAGAGATACATCATCACAGCCCATCCTAGAAGCGTGAGAGAATTTCCAAGGGGACCTTAGAAGTCAAGAAGAACTGGTTTTCTGGAGTTTCTTTTCCAGTCACTTTAATGTTAGCCTGGGGATGATTTCCAACCGGTATAGCTGTAGACCTTGGAACGCCATTCCTTACATTCCGTGAATTCAGGAGAACTTGGGTTTCACTGCCCCGGACTCTGCTCAGCATATCTCAGATCAAGGCAGTGCCTCAAGGACCCCCCACTTACAGAATGTTTAGGTTTTTTCTTTCTTTTCTTCCTTGCCCCAAACCCACACGTCCTTTCTGAGAAAGGCCAGACGCTGCTCCCAGCCCGTAAGCAGCAGAGGTCCACAACCCCACCTGAGGTCAAGGCCCTGTCTCTGAACTTGTCACTTCTTCCCTGTCCTCCTATCTCCCCCTTGCAGCCCAGCCAAAGGAAGCCTTCGGTTTGGTTTGGTTTGGTTTGGTTTGGTTTGGTTTGGTTTGGTAAAAAGCCTCCGAGAGGAGCATTTGAGCACCACTCCAGCCAGAAAGACCACTGACTGCGCTCCAGGGACCTCTGAAATGACACTGGCCTCTAGACTTTTCTAGAGAGGCAGCTATCCTTCCCATTCTCCCTGAAAAGCTCTGGTCCTTCTTACAAGCTGAACCCCCTGGTGACTCACTCAAACCCTTTCACAAACGCCCTTTGCCCCCAGGGAAATCTGAAAGGTTTAATAGTATACATTCTGGGGCAGTTTACCCCAGAATTAAGGTTTTGTTGTTTTTACTCCCTGCCACCAGACACATCATCTTCTTAAGGACTAGATCAACAAGTGGCCCTCCTGAGAAAGTTCTGAGTCCTAGGGTCTCTTGCGACAAGGCCATGCCTGGGGCAGTGCAATTATGCTTACAGTGACAGCCATCTCTCCAGCCCCTAGGATGCTTGAGAAACAAAAATAAGCTTTGCAAGTTGCCTAAATTCTGCAGGATCAGCAGGCCCCTGCTGGCACCAATCAACAAGTGCCTTGGGAAGAGATACGGAGTCATTCTTTCCGACGTGCTGATTGGCCTTGGGAAGGGGCGGGGCTACTGCCTCTGTCCGGCTTCCCATAGGTGAATGAAAGTTAAGGTGGGTCTCTAGCAAGATTTTGTCCCGTAACAACTAGGAATGTCTTGGGGACTTTTTTTTTTTTCTGCTCCGGAGGCCCAGGCTCAAGGCAAATTATACGTGGGGAATCAATTTGAAGGAAAGAAATTTGAACTCAGTTAAAGTGCCAGGTCCTGGGAAAGGAGCCCAGTCCTATCTGAAGTCTGCATCCTCTGCTGACAAACTCTGGGGGGAGCCTGGTTTAAGGAAAGGGGGCGACAGTGAGCACAGGTAGGAAGTGAAACGGCCCAAAGCAGGCCATCAGAGAGAGGAAACACGATGGACGGCATGCAGTACTCTTGGTATCTTTGATTTTTTAAAGCCTTTAAATGACTTCGAGGCCGAAGAGCTGCAGCAGAGGTGGCATTCTGATTGATTAAGGGGGCTTTTGCCGGCCCCAGAATGAAGTCACTCGATTACTAATCCAGCAAAGAGGGAACCCACTATGCCCCAGTACACCATCCTTTCCCGGTTCCTTTTGGCTGGGCATAAAACCATGCTCGCCAATCCCACCTAAAACAGGAGGCAAGAAGCGAGCCTTCCGTGCAAGCAAGGGCTGTAACTGCCCTCCTGTTCTGCCCCAAGACGAAACAGGACCCTTGGAAGCCGAGAGAGGCGTAAGAAGTCTTTCTCGACTGATCGCGAGCGCCTCGCCAGGAGCAAAGACATTTATCTGGCTGGCCCGCGGGCGCCGAGGAGGCCAGAGCGTGGAGGTCCAGGATGGGCTTGCTGAAGGGCCTTCTCCGGGAAGGAAAACTGCTACTCTCCATCTCGGTGCCTTTCCTGCTGCTGCCTCTGCCCTTGCTCCACCCCAGCAGCGTGAGTACTGGCCTGTCCCCTCCTGGGGACACTGGGTCAGGTGGGAGGTCAAGCAGGGGAGGTGGGTGGAGGGAAGGGGTGCTCATGCTGTTCCCCGAGGTGCTTCTCTGTGGGTTTGAAGACATGGAAGTGTTTGCCTGGGTTCAGGGGGGAGCTAAAATACTTCCTGAGCACTGCCATGTTCGTCCCTCTATCTCACCCCGGTCCCCCTTCCCAGCTCCCCCAGCTGGGAGTGAGACCAGAGGAGGGGCTGCTGAGCTGGCTGCTGTGTGTCACACAAATCAGTGGGCCAGCCTCCCTGGCGACGGGACTGGGCCCACGTGCTGATAAGAAGGACACCCTTGTCCCGTAGTTGTCAGGGCTCAGCAGGTGACCGTCTGTATGTGACAGCAACGGGAGAGGCAGGGAGACCTCGTCTTGATGGCCCTGAGGAGTGCACAGGGGACAGCAGGACTGGGGTGGGGTGGAGTGTGGCCCTGAGGGGGCTTTTGTGCACAGAGCATGGGCCGGTGGGCAGGTCTGGGGCTCTGATAACCAGGATTTGAAACTTCACCTGCAAAGCTCCCTCCGAACGTTGAACTAAAAGCAGAGCTCAGCCCCTCACTCCGGTCCCCCACAACGGCCCTCTCCTTGCTTGTACCCTCCGTGTTCTCCTCCCCGTGTTCTGGAAGGAGAAACTCCAAATGACGTGATGAAAAAGAAACAAGAACCCCCACTTCTAGACCAATGACCTAGTTTTGACCGTGTGAGCAGAAGGGCTGCAGCTTTGACTCTGCGCTTGGCTTGCTGCTCAGACCGTTCACTGGACTCCTTCCCTTCCTTGTCTTCTCCTCCTCCCCTCTTCCTTCCCTGCCCCCCTTCTCCCCTTTCTGTCCCTCCTTCCCCTTCCTCATCCCCCTCCTCCTCTTCCCCTCTTTCTCCCTTTTCTCCTCCTCTTCCTCATCCTTCCCTTCCTTCTCCTTTTCCTCCTCTCTCCCCCCACCACACGGTGGCTTTACCTCTTCCCCCACCCCCAGTACCCCTTAGGGAAAGTAAGCTGTGAGGGGTTATCCTGTTTGTGGGAGGGGCAGAGCGCCCCCCCCTCCACCACCACAGCTCCCTGAGTAACTTGGCAACCAAGATTAAGCCATACAGTTAAAGAGAGGGGATTAGGATGCTGCTTAAAAACAAACTGGCTGAAATCTTTAGTAGAATAAATATTCCAAGTGCCAGGGAGAGGCTGATTAAGACTGGGCTGGGATTAGCAGACAGTGATTACTGCTGACAGTTTTCTGGACTTGCACACTAGTCCATTTTCTGCTTTGTCCAAATGAGCTGATTTTCCTTTTCTTTTCATGCTTTTTCTTCTGACCCAGTATCAGATGGATTTAAGGGAATGCCGGCCGAAGACTCCTTGCCCTCCTCCTCTCCACAGGAGTAGCAGGCACCCCCTGGGTCCCCTGAAGTCAGCCCCATCCTTGGGGACCCTGACTGTAGGGTGCTGTGTTCCCCACATTTCGTTCTGGGACCTTGTCTTTGAGCGACTTAGTTACCAACGACTAGTAAGAAGTACCCACAACGTAATAAATTATTGATGTAGGCAAAATAACCTCTACATTTGGGGGGAAGGGGATGGTGAGGAGGAAGAGAGGAGAGAACAGGAAGGATGGGCGAGCCTCGGCTTGGTTTGGGTCCATAAAGAATTTTTGCAGGGATTTTTCGTTTAAGCTGGACTTTTAAGGCCAATGGACAGAGCCCTTTCTTGACTTAGCCCCTTTTTTCAGACTGAGTTTCTCTTTCCGTCGGGTCAGGGCTTCTCAACCGCCGCCCTAGGGGTGTTGGGGCCAGGTATTCTTTGTGGTGGGGGAGCTGTCCTGTGCGCTGTAGGGTGTTTAGCAGCATCGCTGGTCTCTACCAATTTGTGTCTGTAACACACACAGTGTGCCCCCCATTATGACAGCCAACAGGCTTCCAGGTATTAGCAAATATCCCCAGCAGGGTCGGGGCAACAGCGCCCCCAGCTGAGAAGCAGTGCCTTAAGGAAATAGAAATACGCTACCTCAGAGCTTCCCAGTCAGTGCTTGTGGGCTGGTGGAGGGTGGGTGTTTTGAGCGCCCTTGGGGCAGCTAGATGGAGCCTGGGGTGGCGGATGCCCTGGGGTGGCAGCCCAGCCTGCTTGCCACCCACCCCAGCATGACCTGCAAAGACAACTTCTCTGTGTAGCACGGTCTCGACAAGGGCTCTGCTCTTCTCCCTCTCTGATGCTGGAAGAACACTTTGAGGTCAGCGTTCTTCCTACTTTGCACCAAACTTTTAATTCTGATGCGTAGAGTCCTGAATGGACTGTTCATTCTGGACTGGAGCTGAGAGATGCGGCCTGGGACACAGTTCCCCACCTGCAGCACTGCGGGGTCTTCAAATAGACATTTTAGGAAGAGCTAAAATGACCTCCCTTCTTCCTGCCCAGCTCTCTGCGCCCAGACTCAGTTTACCATGTTACAGAAGAAGGTCTAAGAGGGGGACTCCATAGCTAAGCCCTGCTTTGGTGTCCCAGGCGAGGGATAAACGTGACACCCAACCCCCAAGGTAGATTTCAAAAAGGTCTCTGGGTCAGTCACAGCAGCAGACACACAGACCACAAGCCCCTTCCAGTGAAGTCGGGGTGTCCTTGGGGTGGTCAACATCACTGCATGAGAGGAGCAGAGGCAGCTGCCTGATCTGGGGAAGTGCCCCTTTTGAACTCTCCCCCTTATTTGCAGCAGGAGCAGAAAAACCACTGACACAGCGCTATCCCTTAGAAGTCACGGCCCAAACACTGGCCGCGCCCTGCACAGCTGCTGACCAGTGGTGGTGATAAAGGGCCTAGGATTCTCCGAATAGTTTCTCCAGTAGGTAACGGAGAACCACCGGCCAACAGAGGAGCCAGTTCAGCTCAGCCAACATCGACTGAGCTGCCTGCCAGACATTGGCCAGCTATGGGGACACTGGCCCCTGTAATCAAACCTCACAGAGTATTTTGGGGTGTCCGAATGTGAGCTTCCCTGTTTGATTTTGAGGAGGTTGTGCAGGGACAGAAGGAAGTCTGTGTGAATTCCACGGTTAAACTGAGTGAGGAGGGGGGCCTCTCGGTCTGTCTTCAGCTCTAAGGAAAGTCCAGGTAACGGTGATGGTAATGTATCGGGTCCTTAATACTGCTGGGTGAAGGTGGCCTGGTGACCCTCTCCAGGAACCTAGTCTAGTTCTTAACAGCAATTACAATGAAAAAAATCTGCCTCGTCTTACCCAAATTCTCCCAATTCGGAGGGAAGTGGTGGTGCCTGGGACAAGGAAAGTTTCTGTGTCGCATTTCCGATCCCTTCCCGGCACGTGTGGCCCTGTCATGACGAGGACAAGAAAGACTGAGGTTCTCAGGAAGGGACAGTCTTGTGTCAGTGGGGGAGGGACATTCTGTCCCCTTCATCTTCAGCTGGAGTCAAGACCTGCCCCTCTGTCTCCATCAGAGGGGAGGAATGAGCATCAGTGAACTCAGTGCGCTAAACGCCTTTGAACTCCTTTGGCTAGTTCTGTTTCAGCAACAAAGGGGATAGTTCTCTAAACTGCATTCTTTCCCAAATGGAGCCTTTAAATTATTCCACTACTGATTCTGTTGTCTTATCAGCACTTCCAAAAAAATGTTAACTTCTCTGCGATCTTTTGGCCCCGGAGGATTCTCAGCGGGGGCGACAGCCAGCACTTGCTGGCGTGGGTCCCCATTTCCCAAGCCCCATCATCCACGCCTCTGGGGAGGGAGCCGGGGCCCACGCAGCCCAGCTGGACTCATCTCTCCGATGACTCTCGCTGATCGCACGACCTTTTGTAACTTTTGTGCAGGAGAGTGAGGACATGCATTCTGAACCCAGGGGAGAGATAAACAGAACAAGACTCGTCAGGTTCCTTGGCCACCAGCCAGCCTCAGGGCAGAACAGAGCTGAGCCCAGATGGTTGAGAACTGCGTCTCAATGGAGAAATGCACAGCCGGCTTGGACCTTTTATACAGAGGCCCCCCAAGTCCATCCCCAAGGCCCTTGGACAGTGACCTCCCCTAAGAGTACACCAGTGACCATTAATCAATGCCATTTCAGGCAGCCAGCATTACTGGAGGCCAAGGTTAAGAAGGGCTAACTTTTTATAAGAATGTTGTATTAATTTATTCTTTGCACCCAAGAGGCTGTGCAACCAGCAAAGTGAGTAAAAAAATGCTGGTAAATTTCCCAGCCTCCCAGGTGACAAGTGCCCTGTAATTCCTTTGTCAAAAGGACACTTCCCTGTGCCCCCAGCAGGTGGAATGGGGTCCCAGAGCGAGGAGAACCAGACGCTGCTTAGGGTGCTGGTTTTCCACCAGGGACAATTGTCCCCACAAGGGACATTTTGCAATGTCTAGAGACCTTTTTAAGTTGTCACAGCTGAGGAGGTGCTACTGGTATCTAAGGGGTAGATGCCAAGGGTCCTGCCAAACATCTTACCACGCACAGGGCGGCTCCCCACATCAAGGAACTGGGCGGTCCCAAAGGGGGTGGTCTCAGAACTCACATGTGAACCAATCACACAAATTGATTCCTTCCTTCAAGTACCCCAAGAGCATCTAGTGACTGATCAGCTTGACAGAAGAATGTCCTGCCCCAGTTCCAGTTAAAGCTGGGAACGCCACGTTTATATATGACCTTGGCCCTGAACACAGCAGAGAACCAGCAGAGCTGTGATGCCCCAACAGAGCAGGAGCCGCCCTGGTGCCAGCCAGTGCAAACCGCATGCCAGGCATCTGTTCACCCAGGGAACACTCATTACTTCACACACCAATGTAAAAGACCCGCATGTCCCCACCACACTCCCGCCAGGGCTCACCTTGTGTCTGCCAGGGCTGTGTCCCAGGGCCCATGTCCGAGTCTAGGTGCCCGCTTCCTCTGTCCTGGGTCTCATCTGGATTCTCAGTACCAGCAGCTGTCCCTGTGGCTAACTACCCCCTCTCATCTCCTTCCAGGAGGCTGCGTGTGCTTACGTGCTGATCGTGACCGCGGTGTACTGGGTATCGGAGGCAGTGCCTCTCGGAGCTGCAGCCCTGGTGCCCGCCTTCCTCTACCCGTTCTTCGGAGTCCTCCGCTCCAGCGAGGTGAGGCCCCTTGTGGACCAGCCCCCTGCCAGGCCAGTGAGAAAGGGTCTGACGGGAAGGGAGATACACAAAGCACTTCAGGGGAAGGCGCCTTCATCCTCCAGAACAGAACCTTAGCACTAGGCCTTTGCATCAGCTGCTCCAGACCCTGCATGCCTCTCCCTCTACCCTGGACCTCATCCTCCTCAATGGCCCCTTGCAATGGTTTGCGAGGGAGAAAAGGAAATTAGTCATTGTTACTGCTGGGGCTGGAGATGGGCAGCACCGGGGGAGCTGGAGGGCACATTTTATTATTTGGGGTGAAAACTCCTCTGCCATCTGTCTGGTAAAGTGGCAACTGGGTTACAGGGGGCAGTTTAGTCCAAACAGAGTCTGTTTAATTGGACTTCAAACTCAGATCCAAAGACAGTGCCAGTAAGAGAGAGGACATGGTTACAGCTCTTTGCGAGCCAGTTAACACTGAGCCACAGCTGCCGGCCACCCCCGCACCAGTGTGTGCCATGGTCACTGGGGAGAGCCAGCCGGAGTGTCAGCAGGAACCCCCATTCCAGATGGACCCTTGTCACACAGCCCCTTGCCGTGACTTAGGCTTTTCTCCCACCTTGGAAAGTTCTCTCCAACTCCTTTGACCCATCACCCTCTTCAGTGAGGCCTTTTGAAAGCCCTTGGCTAAAAGTGTGGCCCCCTTTGTCCTTTAAATGGTACACAAGATGCACAAGATGTCAACTTTGTGCAGACGTGTTCCCTCTGCACCAAGATTCCCGCCCTCTAGGACGCATAACGCCTGTGGCTGGTGGGCCCTCAGCTGACGCTTCTCGATTGCAATGTCTCTGGATGGTGTGTTGACAGTGTGCCCGCCATACGGAGTCAGGCACGTGACTAAGGGGGTCAGTGTGACTCTGGGACTCTGGCTTTTGTCTCTCGTGTTATTCCCTCAACACTCGGAAAAGTATTTTCGGACTTTTGCCTTGACCACATGCAGTACAGGATGTACAGGTACCTCAAGGGTGACAACAGTGAAACACGTCATTTCTGCCCTTTTAGATCTCACCATGGACACTTCTGAGTTCCCCACTCTCGGCTCGTTGTGTGCCTGCGCAGGGTCCATTTTCATGGTGACTTGTTGGTCCCCAGGCATTAAGAGTCTGTCGGGCATGAAGCTCAGGCTGCCTTCTCTCTGCAGAACTCGGGAGCTGGAAAAAGATATGAGCTGATAGAAATGGCGCCTGACCTTGAGAAGTTCCTGTTCTGGCAGGGAGAGAATCTAAAGCCCATGGAAAAACACAGCAGACTCTAGTCAATAATGCCTCATTTTCTGGCATTGCAGGGGATTTACATAATTCCCCGTGAAGGAATGTTGTAGATAAATAAAATGCATTCTGTCAAGTACCCAAACTTCATGGTGACCACTTTTTGATTAAAGCCTTTCTCAAAGGCTTTCCAATTTCCCTGGTCTTTTTTAAACAGAAGTTGCTGGACAGAGATTAACTTTTCCTTTGGAGCCTTCACAATTTCCAAGGGGGAAAAATTTCTCAATCAGGGGAGCCAATGTGTGCCTGGTGATAGCACAGTTGAGTAACTCGAATGCTGGTCGAACAGCTGAACCTAAAGAGTCTTGAATAACAGATTGGCGTTGGACTAGAGAGAGAGAGCTCAAATGAAAATAGAACAGGCATGTTATTGAATTTGCAGATGGTTCAGCGATGGGTGGTCTAGCTACTGTACGGCGACAGAACCGATGTTGACGGAATGAGACAGTGAACCAAAGTTCACAAAAGGCAGTTTAACGAGGATACATGTCACCAGGCCACGGGAGAAAGACCCTGGCTCTCAGGGGCGCACGAACTCAGTGAGCGTCTTCTATCCGGGTCGCGCGGCTGCCAAAATTTCTGACATTTCCCATATACCAGGCACCATGGGAGGTCTTTGACATGCACTCCATCATCGAGTCTCTGTAAAGTGGCTATTATTTTTACATTCACTTCACAGAGAAGGAAACGGAAGCTCAGAGAGGTCAGGTAACTTCCTGGAGGTTGCACAGCTGTCCGTAGTGAAACGTGAACCAGGATTACATGACCCCAGAACTTTGTTCTTCCCCACTGCCCAAATTTTCTGAAATGTGCTGAATTGATACACATATGTGTTCAGAGTTTCTGGTTCCGGATAAGGAGCTCCTTCAGGGGTAGGTGGCCAAGACACCAAAAACCTAGAAGAAGATTCACATGAGGACAGAGAAAATGCAAGAGGAGGCTGATTTCTGGCTCCTACAGCTCATCACACCAGGCTCACAGGTCAAAGCAGAACCAAAGACCCAAAGCACTGTAAGGGAGACCTGCTCTGTGGAAGGGGAGGCTGGAAGGGGCTCTGCGTGTTCCCATCCTCCAAGTATAAGCCAGGCAACCATGTCAGGGAGGCGAGAGCTGGGCTTTGTGTGTTGGCAGAGGGTTGGACGCTAAGGGCCCTTGGACTTTAGGATTCTGTGATCTACTTGTGGATGTCCAGCCAGTACCTCCCTCCACTAGTCTACAGAGCTCAGACCTGTATTTCAGTTTTTAGAGTTTTGTTTTGTTTTGCCTTCATTGCTCTCACAACTCTCATTCTGTCTGCTTCTAAAGTTCTCTAAGCCCTTCTGATGTGTTGCCACAGCCTGGGACAGTCCCCGTGTCAATCAAGCCAGCTAAGAGTTACTGTTTAAGGGAGATTGGTGTAGAGGAGGGGGCCCTTCAAACCTAGACAGCGAGGTTTGAATGTTGCGGCTTGGGAGAGTCCCCAGCGTGCACAGGGTCAGGACTACTTCTGGGAGTGGTTACCTCTGCTGTCTATCTCTACCCACCCCCGCCCGACCCCACGCACAGACACACACCCTCCGCTGCCTCAGTGGCCCTCCCTTGCAGGCCCCCAGCAAGCCTTGTTCAGATCCCAGCTCCTGCCAAGACGAGAGAGGCAGAGAGGCAGCTCCGGCTGGGATACGGAAACAGCCACCGCAGCCCAGTGCTGCGTGAGTCCTATGGCATGAATCTGCTTCCCTGTTTGTTCCCCATCTTCCGGGCCTCCCCCTCTGCCTCCAGGCCCCAGGGGATGTAGGCCAAGCCTCTGGGCCCAGCCACCTGCCTGAATCCAGGCTGCCCGGCAGCCAGAGCCCTCCAGGCACAGCCCAGAGCTGAGCCCCACCCCTAAGGCCTCACCTGGGGACTGACCAGGCACCTCTAGAACTCGCAGCCTTCCGAGGCCAAGCTCGCGTTTCTGTGGGCAGGCCTGCTCCCTGACAGTGAGCCGCCGCTTGGCCTGTGGGCCCAGAGCCCGGCCCAGTTTCCCCCAGTGGGCAGCTCAGACAGTCCCCAAAGAACTGGGGGCTCATTCCCAGCCACGTAAGGGCTGGGCCAGGTGGGCACCCATCTGGGCTTTCTGCTTGAGACTTCTCTAAGTTACCATGTGCAAAAAAAAAACAAAACTATAAAGCAACGAAACCTTTTCTTTCCTGCAAATCTTAGGAGACCAATGCATACAATGGGTGGGAGAGGAATGCCCGCTCAAACAGGGGATGGGGACCCAGGCTGCTAGGGCCCTTCCCACAGGCAGTGAGTGGGATTCAAAAGCTTCTGTCCTCCAATCAGGTGACCCAGGTGGTGCGGAGGAGCCCGCATGCTTGGCCCAGCAGAAGCTGCATTCCTGCCCCCAGGAAGGCTGAGAGCCAGGCACCCTGGGTTTGGCTGCGCGGCTGGGGCGCTGGCGGGAGTGACTAGAGTGGGACTCCAGCAATGACGGGGAACCGTCCGGGCATCCCCTTCTGGGTCTACAGGGTGAAATTGTCCAGGTGAACCACAAACCCTCCAAACAGGTCCATGGCCAGAGGCCACTGCTGGGCTTCTGAGGGCCAGTGGCTTGCAAAGAGAGCCTGGGCCCGTGAGGCCAGCAGCAGGGCACTGGTGGCCGCACTTCTGAGGGGACCCGCTCAGTGCCACCAAGTGTCCGTGTCAGGGAATGGAAACAGACCCCACACCTCGCTGGTCCCCCGCTGCCCCCAGCAGGAGCAAGGAGAATGGCCGTTCGGACACGGCCGGGGTCCACAGTGGGAGCAGAGGGTACCGAGCTGGAATCAGTCTCCCCACTAACTGACTGGTCCTGAGCAAGTCGGGTGACCTCTCTACACTGCCATTCACTGGTCTGAGAACTGAGGATAATAGAATTCCTGCCTCATGGGGCGTCGTGAGGATTTGAGACAATTCTAAGTGTGAATCTGAGGTCAACAGCTAGGTCCCCATTCTCCTCAAACTTCTAGGAATAAAGCCATAACTCCCCTTCCCCCTTTGAAAAAACTGTAAAAAAAATTAAAACCTTATCCAGAGCAAGATCCATAATTGTGTCCAAAGAAAGGAAGGTTTTTGAAAGCCCGTCACTAACCGACAGCACCAGCAATTCACTAACCACGGACAGATGGGTTAACGGACTTCGTTCACCAGCACGTCTGTCCTTGGGCCTGCCAACCCGGGCTGGGTCAGAGAGCTCTGGCAATGCCCTTGCCCTTCACTTAAAATTTGGAGGAATCCGTCTTTTAGCTCCCCGGGGCTCCTTATTTCATGTCTTTCTCTTACTCCCCCATTTGATGGTCCCGGCGCACTTAATTCCTCACCTCGATCTCACCTGGAAGCCTTTTGTCTTTCCCTACTTCTGTGATGATCGTAACTGAGCACTTCTTGCATGCCAGGCAGTGTTCTAAGAGCCCGCCTTCATGAGCTCACTGAAAGCCCTTGTCATGACGGATTTTGTGAGCTATGTGTCATTAGTCGCCACTGCAGACATTGGCGTGACGGGTCACCAGGAGGCAGCGGTTTGCCCAACAGCACACAACGCATCCAGCCAATCCCACGTGCCGCCAATAAAGCAACCACTTAAAGCCAGGCCACCTGGAGTGGGAAGCTCTTTTTTTTTAATCCTCACCCGAGGATACCGTATTTCTCTGACTATAAGACGCACCCCCTCCCCAAATTGGGAGGAATAATGGTTGTTGATGCTGCTGTTGAGTTCTGTTTCCATTTACACTAGTGAAAAATTTATGTTATTTATGTTATTAAACGTTTTACCACATGTTTTGCTTCAAAAAAATTTTTTTCCTATTTTCCTCCTCTAACACCTAGATGCGTCTATGGTGCAAAAATACAGTATGTTTATTGATATTAAAGGAAGAGAGACACTGATGCGAGAAACATCAATTAGCTGCCTCCTATACGTGCCCCCCCCCAGGGATCAAAACCGCAACCTAAGTATGTGTGCTGAGCAGGAGTCGAACCCACAACCTCTTGGTGTACAAGATGATGCTCCAACTCACTAAGCTACCCAGCCTGGGCTGGAACCCAGGCTCTCAATTGCTATACTTGGCTCCACCTTTTTCAAAGCAGCCTCCTTGAGCCCAGCCCTTCTACAGCACAGCCCAGAAACACCTCTGGTCTCCAAACCCAGTGACTCGGCATACTGAGAAAAACCGCAGAGCAGAAAAGGCAATAAAACTGCCAACGCAAATGTCACAAAACACATGCATTCTGCTCAGGGGAGGAGCACTCATTTAAAAATCCATTTTCTCTGGGCAAATAGTTCTAACAAGCTTCGTTATTGAGTTTACCAACTCACAGGTTATTAATCTGGGAAATTCAATAGTGGGGGGAAAGAAGGCTTAGTGAAAATGTGAGTTGTTAATGCAAGCATTTTAGAAAATGATTAAGATCGTCCTCAAGAATCCTAGAACTCCAGGGCTCCAGAGAGGGTTTGCTGTAAAAGAAACTCAGTGGGTTCGACAACTAACAAACACCATTGCTGGAAGGGATTTTAATTATCAAAGTGAAAAGGCAGTCTTGTGCCCGGGCCCACTCTGCGTGCTAACGAGGTCCGTCTTTGTGTGGCCCACTAAGTGTCGGGAAGCGCCGCCAGGGACCCCGGTTGTCTGTGCGGTGGCGTGCCTGCTGGTATGCATGTGTCATTTCATCCTTACAACAGCTTTACAAAAGGTAGAAGCGCACATGATCCTCATTTATTTTTCCTTTTTAATGGTTCTACTTATTTTTAGGGAGAGGAGAAAGAGACAGAGAGGGAGAGAAACATCTCTGTGGGAGAGAAACACGGACCGGTTGCCTCTCACTAGCCCCCAACCGGGACCTGGCCCGAAACCCAGGCATGTGCCCAGACCAGGAATCCAACTGATGACCTCTCACTTTTCTTTTCAGGAGGATGCTCCGCCCCCACCCCCTCACACTGAGCCACACCAGTCAGGGCTTCATTTATGTTTAGATGGAAAAAATGAAGCCCAGAGAGGGCGAACGACTTGCCCGGGGTCACGCGGCCAAGTCCTGGCAGGCTGCGGAGGCCCCATTCTTTACAACTTGCCTGCGTTACTCCCTAATCACAAATGATGCCCAGGCTCGTTGACCAAGCACGTGGCATCACTTACAGGGGGACGGGAGGGTACGTGAGGAGACACGAGCGCTCCAAACAAAATAAGAAAACAGCATTATCCTGGCTCCAAGTATTTATTTTGGAGCCAGTGCCAGGACTTCCCTCCTTGGTAGACGGAGGAAATAAAAACACTGACTCCACCACAAAAGCTCCCTCCTAGATATCCTGGGAAGGTGAGGGGGCGCATCAAGAACAGTCTAGGTCTCCAGCTCAGCCCTTGCCCTTCCCTGCAGGCTCCCACCTCCCGCTAGGGGGCAGCATCTCCACCCGTAGGACCCGCCCACCTGGTGGCATTCTCTGCCCTCTGGGAGCACGGTGACAGTGTCAGTGAAGACGAGGGGTGAGGGCATGAACTAGATTTACCAGAGCAGAGGGCTCTTCCTCCAGGCAATGGTCACAGAGAGGGCAGATGTCCCCTCTCCTACACAGAACTCATTGACCGGACACAACAGGATCACTGGGACCAGGGAGAGAAGGGAGACCGGGCGGAAGCTGCCTTTATCTTGACTGTTATGTTATCCAAGTGGCCGGTGCAGGGTGTAAAGCTCACGACGGAAAACCGGCACCCCCCTCCCGGCTGCGCCCCCTCCCAGCTGCGCCCCCTTTCCCAGGTCCACCCCTCCCACCCTGAGTCAGTAACTTTTAAGTGTTTCAACTGCTTCTTCTGGTATTAAGCTCCACATTCCTGTATGCGTTTTGATTTTAATTCTTGAGTTCTCACTTTCAGACATTATTTGTCGACTCCCCGTGAGGGCAGATGAGGCTTTTGCTCTCTTCCGTCCCCACGTTCCCCTCCCTCCATCCGCCCAAAACTAGTCCGTCATGACCTTTGTCACTTCCATCACTGGTGTGTAACCACGTGACTGCGTGAGTATCGTTCACTTCAAACACGGTGTGATCTCACTCTACACTTCCCCTTCCATCGATTTTTAGTTTTCCTACCATTAAAAATATTCCTGTTTTCTCCCTGGAAGAGGGTTTCTAAAGGGGAAGTTAAACTTTTTTTGTATATCTTCTCCTCTCAACCTGTGTCATGGTCCCACAGCTGGGAACAGTTCTCACGTCTGTGACAAATGCGTAGGGAGCATCTACGTTTGCACTGTTATTCTACCAGGTGTGAAGAGATACAGAAAGAAACGTGATATAGAAAGAAACAGGGTCTAAATTTAATTGACAAGAGAAGTTCACATAGAAAAACAAAGAGGAGAAGCATGAAGCAGCAAGTGAGCGCTGCCCTGAGGGCTCTGGGGTGGGTGGAATTAATGGTGCCCTCAGGGAATGTTCCGGAGTCAGGCAGCCTAGCTAGTCCCAGGGAAGTTTTCTGGGGGGCACCAGCTGGACCTGGGCTGTGAGGCCTGATCTGCACAGACAAGCAGAGAGAAGATAGTGTTCCACGGGAGGGGGAATCAGTGAAGAGGGGGCCCGTGGACCCCAAACCAGCCTAGGTCTCAATTTCCTCATCGCTAAAAAGTGGGAAAGAGTTGATGACTGGTGCTGTGGTTGTGTAAGAAAAAAAATTCCCTATCTTTGGCAATAGACATATAATATGAAGCGCCCTTTACCCCGGAAGTATATAGGGGTAAATGGCCAACATGTACGTAACTTACTCTCAAATGGTTTAGGGGAAAAAACAATTATGTGCGTAGGTAGTATGTGAGCAGTCTTTGTACTACCATCATTTTGGAACTCTTTGGAACTTTGGATTATGTAGAGTTATTTAAATTTCCAGATTTAAGTCTAGTTATAAAGACACCTTAAGAGCTCTAGCCTAAGGAAATAATCACAATTATATAAGGTTAACAATTTAAGGATTTGTAGTAGAAAAAGAAACCCTAAATATTTAACATAAAGCAAATGGAAATTTTATGGCACATTATGCTGCCATTAACATGAATTTAATCCAATACATTTAAATCTCATAAGAAAGTGATCAGGGTGTGATGTAAAATGAAAAATAAGAGCAGGCTACCAAGCTGTCCATACTGTATAAATCCAATTTTGTACTAATACAGATATTAAAAAAATTGAAGAACATAAGCCAAAATATTAAGAGTACTAGGATTCAGGGTCATTTTATCTTTAAATTTCTATATTTTGAAGTTTTCTGTAATGAGCATGTATGGATTTTCTAATAAAAATAAACATGATTTCCTAAAAAGCTAAAGAAAATTGAGACTTGGGGGGCAAACCCAGGGTTATTAAATATTTTTAAAGATTTTATTTATTTTTAGAGAGGAGAAGGGAGGGAAAAAGAGAGGGAGAGAAACATCAATGTGTGGTTGCCTCTCATGTGTCCCCTGCTGAGGGCAGGGCCCACAACCCAGGCACGTGCCCTGACTGGGAACCGAACCAGCAACCTTTTGGTTCACAGGCTAGCGCTCAATCCACTGAGCCACACCAGCCAGGGCTACTTAAATACTTTTTAAGGCTTAAGATAAAATTATATGCATGTTTATTCTTTGGAATCATATTCATAGAGTTTTTATATCTAAAATAGTGAAGAAGACTATTGACCTTATGCAGTTATTGCAAAAATTAAAAGAAATCACCTTTGTAAGTTCTTAGTATACTGATTGCCCCAGGTAGTGCGTGTGTGTATGTAAATTTTCAAAAAATGTTAATGTATATCATAGTTGGCTATTCTAATAACCCTTAACCGCCTGCTTCTTGCTTGCCAGTCTTTGCTCGAGAGTGGGTTTTGTCTGGCCAGTCAGTCCCATGCTCCCAGGGCAGGTGTGGGGGCGACCCTGGGCAGGGTGGGCGGGTGACTGTGCTGCCCCCTGCAGGTGGCGGCAGAGTACTTCAAGAACACCACGCTGCTGCTGGTGGGCGTCATCTGCGTGGCAGCCGCGGTGGAGAAGTGGAACCTGCACAAGCGCATCGCTCTGCGCATGGTCATGATCGCCGGAGCCAAGCCCGGCATGTAAGTGGCACTTGGGGTGTCCAGCCATAGTGGGCCACCTGTACAGTGGGCCACAGGGGCACGTCCACTTAGGGTTGTGTCTCTACCAGAGGGGATGGGATGACACACCAGAGCCACAGGGATCCCACCCGCCTCTCCAACGACAGGACCCATAACCATGGAGTTGAGATTGGAGTGTGTGACTCTGGTGTCACTGACTGTCACGATCTAAATAACTTACCCGAGCAACCCAGACAGTGAGGCCAGCAGGTTACCAAACAAGGAGGGGTCCATCAGGTAAAACAAGACGCACCAACATTAACTGTTTCTCCACCTTTTGCTGGTACGTCAGCGAACAGGCTGGATGGGAAGTGATGGCTTCTCCTTTGTCATCTAAGGAGATGCAGGGTTTCCTCCCATGCACCCCGAGTTTCTGTCATCCGTGACCAGACCCAAGCATGTTGGCGTGTCGAGTTTGACCCGGCGCCTGCTGTGCCCTTCCTGCCCTCAGCAGCCTCCTCTTCTCTCTCTGCTGTCTGGGGACAGGGTCGCAGCCTCAGGGGACTGTGCAGGAGAGTCAGCACTGACGGTCTAAGCTTAACCCTGCCCCTGCTCCACTGCACAGCCCTGCCCCCTCCCTTTGGAGTAGTTTGTCATCTCCTTGTAGGGTGCGGTATTCTCGCTCTATTTTATGCAAAGTGGCATGACTGCTCTGGGAGTCAAACAATGCCTTTGGGGCCTAAACAGACACTGAGGGGTTAATTTGCAACATTAGTCATTAGAGGGACACAGGTTTTGCTTAAAAGGATGTCCCTCTCTCTCCCACTTACCTGCAGCTTAATTCAGCACCGCTCACCCCTCACTAGAAACACTCGCAGCCACAGCCACCTCCTAGGCCCACAGTGGCATTCCCTCACGTCGTCTTGGGGCTCTGAGGTGCTTTCAAACCTCTGTGTACCATCTTCAGGAACTTAAATCCCATTTCATTTCCACTCATCTCTATTGGCCTCAAGCACCCCCCCGTTTGCAGCCCCTGTGGTGCCCTCCGACCTTGCCGGTCCAAGGCAGGTGGACTCATGACACCATCAGGACTTCCACCCACCGGGACAGGGGCCCCTGCTTGTGGGAAGTCAGTGGTTCCACCCACCGTGATAAACACACTCCTTCAGGTTGGCTTATCTCAGGGGAAAAAGAGCCAGGTCTGTGCAGACAGACTCTGTGTGTGTTCAAAGTCAAAGACAAACGACTGGGGAGTTACCTTTTGTTTTCCTCCAAGCTGGGACTCTTTAAGATAGGAGCGGAAACAGGGCGCTCAGGGACCTGGACACTTCTGTGACTTCAGCAGGCTGACGGTGGGGACAGGAATGGGCCGAACTGTAAGCCCCAGGTTTCGGTCACTGATAAGTATGGTGCCGCGGCTGCAAAGCAAGGCATGTCACGGTGCTCGTAGAATTGCTGGCTACAGGGCAAAGCTAGAATTCCTTTCCATACAAAAAACATACATCATCACTAAGCTAATGTCCAGAAAGCGCGAGAGCGATCAGTCAGTCCATGCCCTGTGACCCCACTACCAAAGCTGCTCTTTGCTTAAGTGAGGGCTTTTTTCTGGCCTAAGGCTGCTAGCTCATAAAGTGTGAGTCATTTGTTTGATGCATGTTTATTTACTGTTTACTCTGTGCGGGTCCCTGGGAGGGCAAAGCTGAATATAAGACCTAAAAATGCAACTTTTTCTGGATAAACGCTGGGCACGGCGCTCCAGGCCAGCACCCTCGGGTCTGCAGGGGGCCCCGGGAAGCCGCCCTCCCCCCACCCCCACAACACCATGAGCTGCCATGGAGGCGGTGCTGGCCCTGCTGCCGCAGCCCTGCCCGGCCCGCCCTGCCTTCCAGGCTGCTGCTCTGCTTCATGACCTGCACCACGCTGCTGTCCATGTGGCTGTCCAACACGTCCACCACCGCCATGGTGATGCCCATCGTGGAGGCCGTGCTGAAGGAGCTGGTCAGCGCCGAGGACGAGCAGCTGGTGGTCCAAGACTCCGGCGCCGAGGAGGCTGAGCCCACCAGTACCGTTTGCTGCAATCCATTCCTCCTTGGCCCCTCTGCCCTCCCACAGTGCATCTGCCCAGCTCTGGGCCTCAACTGCTGCTTCCCCTTCCCCCTCCCCACCCCGCCCCATACCAGGCCTGGCAGCCTGAAGCTTCCCTGAGACAAGGCCCCCCTCACCCCCCACCATTGCTAGATCTTCCTTCCTTCCCTTCCCCACTGACAGCAGCCACCCCTGCTCCTTTCCCCAAACACTCAAGGGCACGCCCAGAGGAGTCCCAAGGGGAGTGGGGGAGTCCTCTTGCACCAGCCCTGTCCCCACACAGCCCGAGCCCCGGAGCCCTGCCGTACGGGGGCAGGCCAGCCTCCACGTCTCACCTTCTGTTTTTCTTTGCTACTGTAGGTCTGGATGTAAACTGCAGCCAGCCTTCTCTGGAACTCATCTTCGTCAGTGAAGAGTGAGTATGACTGCCCTCCTCACAGGCCTAGGTCCACCTCGGAGCCCCCCAGGTCCAGTTCAAGGTCTGGAAGGCTGGAACCTGAGCCCTCAACAGCTCTTCCACACATGTGGGCCACGCTCACATCTTGCCACGCTATCCCCACCCCCTGCCCCGATTTCCTCTCCATACCTGGGAGCCACCTGCCAAGGTTCTCAAAGGCAACTAACTCCCTTCAGCAGAAGGTATTGCCATGATGGGGCAAGAGATAAAAAGACTACTGAACATTGATGGTCTATGTATCTACCAAGTTGAATTTCTCTAAAGTGACGTCCCTCTTAGGAGAATAATACGTTCATTCTATTAATGGGAAAATATTCACACAATAGATATCACCAAAGATTCTTAAAGAACCACAAAAGCTCACAGATACGGCTCTTACTAGAGTTGGTTTTCTTGGACACGGCCAAGAAAAAACCAGGTGGCGGGTAGGGGATTAGAGGACAGTGGTAAGAGGGCCATGGGACAATGGAGAGAAGGGACCAGAAAAGGGGAAATTCTCAAATGCTCGTGGGTGGCAAATCCATTAGCAGCTGGTTTCTTTTGGAGATTCGACATCAAAATGTGGGCTTCAAGGTACTTCGTGGTGAGTGTCACACTTTAAAAGTTGGCTCTGTGCTGGAGCACAAAGATTCGCGATTTGCTCTTTGCAAATAGCTTTGCAATTTGCTCTTTCCATAAAAAAAACAGCCCTTGAGTGCAACCAGCACAGGGGATGGAAGAAAGGCCCCGTCATAGCTTATTGGGCCTTGAGGACGCCCCACCAAGTCCTGTGGCCCTTCTGGCTCCTGTCCAACTTTAGAACGTTCCCGTGTTCAGATCTGCAGCAGTCTGGCCCGGACTCCCCTGAAAACTTCCACCCGTCACCCAAAGCCCCTCCCCTTCCCCTCTCATGCTCACACCTGCCCCCCTCAGCCCAGGTCTGCAGAACAAGAGGCAAAAGTGAGTGGGGGAGAGCTGACCCCTCTCTCTCTCTTCTCCCACCTCCCTCTTCTCCTCTGTCCCCCAAGTCACTCTGCTGAGTTGACTTCTCCAGGGTGCAGGAAAGATAAAGAAGCAAAAAGGTGTGGGCTGGAGGTATCTTAGGGGGAGTGTCCCTGAGGCCTGAGAGTGGCAAGAGAGACCCCCTTGGACCACCATTCATGCTCCCCTTGGTTCCGTGGGCTGGTGGCTCACCCCGCACAGCCACCTTTTCTTCTGGGGTCACCTCCGTGTGTCCCCACACTCCAAAGGAAAATCTCAAGTTGTCCCTAGAAGTCTCTGGCGTGAGGACGCCTCTCTCGGGGAGAGCACCTTCCATGCTGTCAGAGGGGTCCCTGGCTGCCCTCCTCACCTGATTTGGGAGGGAAAGTGGTGGGGGGGGGCATCACCAAACTCCTGCAAGGCAAACGGCTCTCTCCAAAGAACGCTTCCTTCTGTCTTCACTTCCCCACCCACTCCTTACCTTTCCCTGAGATAGTCAGGAGCTGAGCGGCGACCACAGGGCCCCAAGTCCTGCACATGGGGTCAGCACCTCTCATTTGCCCGCACAGCGGGTGAGGTCACAGCACCCACTGTTCTCAGAACTGAGACAAACCAGAAACATCCATGTAGGACTCCGTGTAAGTCAGTGACAGGTTAGGGCTCGCCTTCCTCACTGCTCAAGGGCAAGGAAGGAGACCAACAGGTGTGCGAGGGGCAAGTGCTGATCAGAAACTCTCCCCCATCCCCGAGTGCACCGCAGGCCCGTGTCTATCATCTCAGATAACTGTCTCACCAGTATCTCTTTCTGGGTAGTGACCTCCCGAGTCAGGCAGTGGAGTCAGGCAGTGAGAGGCGCGTGGGGGGGCCCCAGGCAGAGGCAGTTCCCACCCAGCCCCACCCCTCAGCACCCGATGCCCCCAGGAAGTTAGTGACCCTTCTCTGCCTAGTTCTCGACCCCATAAGTGCAGGTAGTAATGCCTGGACCAAGAATTAACAAGGCCTGAGGACTACAGTCCGCATTTGAATCTGTAGCACCAAACGGACACTACAGGCTAGCTATTCTCAGGAGTGTCAGAATCCAAGAAAATGCCCTACAAGTGCCCCCAAGAATCCCAACAGCATCTCCGGAAGGTGGGGAAGACTACGGTGAGGTTGGGCTTCCTTGTAGCCTAGAGAAAAACACCCAGGGGGTCACCTGTCCCCTTGTAGACGTGTGGGGAGGGTTGCCATCCCATGAGGTCTGGTCCACTGTTAATTTTCTTACTTCCTTTGCTTTGTTCCAGCACCTCAAAGACAGACTTTACTTCTCTGATGCAGAACAAGGTATGTCCTTGGGGTTGTTTTTGGTTTCGTTCTTCCTGTGCTTTGAGATAGTTGAAAGTCCCTCCAGATAACTCACGGACAGAGATGCCTGACAGCCTGTCCTGGAGCCCCATGGGCCCCGCCGACGGGAGACCAGAGAGGCATTTCCTGGGCCTGGACAAGCTCCTGGCAGGGGCCTGCCTGGTTCTGAGCCCCGGCCCTGAGCACCAGGCTTGGCCACATACAGCCCTTTTTTTTGTTGTTGTTGTTTTTTTCATGGAAACCCAATGCTCAGCTCTCCGGATTTTCAAGCCCCACAGATTCATTGTTAGGATTTCTTTCGGGGCGTGTTCCATTTACAAAAACCTTACACCGCAAGGGACGCATTCAGAGGGGAAAGCAATGCTGCCTGCAAAGCCAGAGCTGCGGCTTGGCCTCTCCCTCCCCCAAAGCCCATCTTGCATCTCTTCGTGCATCAGTCCAAACTGTGGGCTTTTACGTGGCACAATTTTTTTTATGTTGTGAGAAAAATAAATGAAGGATTCTTCATGAGCTCATGAAGTTCCAGAAAGCCAAGCTCTCTATTACAAAGACAGAGCCATATTCTGCCCAAGTTCAAAAGCCTCTTCAAGTGCGGGGCTTGACACCAGGCTGGGCAGGACCTGAGATGGAGGTGGGCACAGCTGGGACGGCTGTCCCCTGCAGGCTGTCCCTGGTCCTCACAGGGCTGGGGTGTGGGGCGCCCCCGTGAGAATAAGGGGGTCCTTCTCAAGGACCACCACATCCCCATCCTGACAGTGTAATGGTCTTTGTTCCGACAGAACCTGAACGGTGCGCCCACCATCGCCAACCCCGTCAAAACAGCAAACCACCAAGACAAGCCGCACCCGTCCCAGGTAAGCAGAGCACCTATCCTGACCCTGTTTGCCTCCTGCGATGCCTGGAGCCTCCGCAGGGGCGCTGGTCTTGAAGTTGTCAGGGCGTCAGCCTAGTGAGCCGTCACCAGACCCTGTTTGCCCGCATCCCTGCCTGCGATCAAACCCCTGCCTCACCGCAGACTGGGCGAGTCATTCTCCTGAGTCCTGGTAGCTTCAAGTATAAAAGCCGAAGGCGGGTCCAAATCAGAAGGTGTCCAAACTATCCCTCGCAGGTGCGTCAGGGACACTGCATATATTTTATTTGAACGCCCGGAGATGTTCAGGCAACTGCTTTTCTGTGAGAACAGGATTTTCCTGGTATTTCCCAGCGAAACAAAATGCAGAAGGAAATCAGATGCTGAAGCTGGTATAAAGTTGCAAATGTCACTTACAACCTTGATTCAGATTTGTGTGTTCATCAAAATGATCTCAATGAACTTAATACCCACCATCATCCTACGTAACCACCACCATTTATGAAAACACCCATGATGCTAAGCGTCTTCTCTCTTACTTGGCTCCGTGAGGTCGGAATGTTGAACCCCCATTTTTAAATGAAGAGGAGAGAGGAAATCATGTCCCCAAGTCCTCGAGCTAATGAGGGGAACACCTTGGTTCAAATCCCAGTCTCCCTGACCACGTGTGTACACACTCAGAACACAGATGCAGGTCACTTCAATGCTACATTCACATTGTATATCATCGGAGGCCTGTGTGAAAAACGATTAGAAGAAAGGACCATGGCAAACCACTGGACCAGAGACCCTGTGAGGTCTCTTCCAGCTCTGATGATCAGCGAATCCTTCGGGGAGGTCTGGAAAGGTCCAGACCCACCTGGGCCCTGCTAGGAAGATAGGCGAGTAGTTAAAGGGCTCTGAGAAATGTGGCAAAGTGGCCCCTTCCCCATGGTTGTCCTGTGGCCTGGCCTGCACCGGGCAGTTCCTAGTCTCATGAAGACTCATACGGGGGTGGCAGGCCTGGGGGGTGGGATGGGGACCCTTGCTTCTGTAGTTCACACCCAAGGCCAGAGGTCAGCAACCTCTGACCCTGAACAGCTCCCTCTGGACCAAGCGGGGCCTGAGGGGACCACAGCCAGGCTGAGGCTTATGTGCAAGGAGGCGGGGGGAGGGGGGAGGAGAAACCAGTAGGCAAGAAGGAGACACGAGTGAGGAAGGAAAGGAGGTCAGAGTCACACGCTTTGCCCCTCTGTCCAGTGAAAGCTGGACCCCTTCTGGAATCCAAGGCCTATTTTTCAGTTGCCTCCCAATCGCAGCTGCTGTTCCAACTCCTCACAGATCGACCATCTTCTGTTCGTTATCCAGACACAAAGTGGAGAGCAACCAGTTCTACACAAGTTCAAGGAACAGGCGGGACATCTGATTTCTATTAATAATAACATTAACAACAACAAAAATAGCAATAGCGTATCATTCATTAAGTGCCAGGAAGTGGCCTAATACTTTATATATGTATTACTTCATCTACTCTTGACAAAGATCTGGCAGAGAAAATAGGATTTTCCCCATTTTACAGAAGAAAGTGAAATTCGGAGGGACTGCTAGGCTGGGAAATGGTAGAACTGACATCAGCATTTGTCTCCCAGACCCCCAAGGTCAAAGCCTTCCCCACTGCACCATGGTGCCCCTGTTTTTCATGCATTGTGTGCCAGACAGCCTGAGCTGGGTTGGAGAGATTCACGGATTCTTCTCTGGTAGGAAAAGCCACCGGTCCTGACGCCCAGCCCCAGGACCCAGGAGCTCAACAGAAAGTACAAGTCCCACCACGACCAAATGATCTGCAAGTGCCTGTCTCTGAGCATCTCTTACGCCGCTACCATTGGGGGCCTGACCACCATCATCGGCACCTCCACCAGCCTCATTTTCTTGGAACACTTCAACAAGTAAGTAATTCACTGCGTTGACAGATATCGACTAAGCGCCCACCATGTGCCTGGAACGCAACGAGGTACTAAGAATACAGCAGAAAATGGGACCAGAACAGTTTCCCTACCAGGAGGGGAAAGAGACAATCAAGCCACCACAGGCCAGTGTGACCAGAGAGGGGCAAGAGTTTACTGGGAGAACCCCACCTGGGAAGGCCCCCGCTCCCCACCGCCCCAGTCTCGATGCCTCCCCAGGGAGGCCACAGCGCAAGTCGGAGACCTGCAGCCTGCGCTGGAGTGAACTAGATGGAGGGAGAATCCCCACCAAAGCCAAAGGTGGGTAGGAGGGCTCAGAGCAAGAGGGCAGAGCACACAGAGGAAAATGAGAGAGGACGCGAGGAGGCCGGCCAGGGGCACAAGGGGACCACAAAGGACCTCGCCGGGCCCTCTAAGGCAGCGTCCCTGAGCCTTTTGGCACCAGGAGCTGGTTTCACAAAAGACAATTTTTTCACCCATAGGGAGGCAGGGAAGTGGGGTGTGAGGACAGGATAGGGGGCTCAGGTGGTCATGGGGTCGCCCACTGCTCACCTCCTGCTGTGCCGCCTGGTCCCTCACAGGCCTCTGACCGGCACCAGTCCCAGCCCAGGGGCTGGGGACCCCTGCTCTAAGGAACCTTCATTCAAAAGGCCAGAGGAAGCCTTTGAAGGATTTTAGCCTTGGAGTGAGGTGACGTGGTGTATAGTTTTGAAAGCTCATTTTGGATATTGCAAAACATGGAGAATGGACTAGAAAGGAGAAAGCAGGCAGCAGGAAGACAATTCAGGACGCTGCCCGGAAAGACAGGGTGGTGGCCTGGGTGACAGTGGCCAGGGGAGGAGAGAGGTGGCCCCAGAGAGACATTCGGAGGCAGACCCGACAGGCCTGGGCAGGATGAGGGAGGGGAAGGCCACGTCTAACTGTCAGGCTCCTGGCTTCAGCCGTGGGGCACGGGCCTGCCCTCGACCTACCTGAGGGGAAAGAGGAAGAAATGATGGTGTAGAAATGGAGGTGTCCAGCTGGGAGAAACGGCTCTGGTTCTCAGGAGAAACTTCTAGGCTAATGGCATAGACTTGCTGTGGCCCGAGCAGCTGTCTCCTTGGGTGCTCGACCCTCAGGGTCACAGGGCCACCGCTCTCAGAAGAGTCCCATGCTTGGCCGACACTCTGCTGTCACCATCTGGAAACTTATTTTTATCCTCACCTGAGGACATTTTTTCACTGCTTCTTAGAGAGAGAGAGAAACATGGATGGAAGAGAGAACCATTGATCTGTTGCCGTCCATACAAGCCCCAGCCGGGGACCGAACCCACAACCTAGGCGCGCGCTCTGATCCGGAATCGAAACTGCAATCTTTCAGTGTACAGGACGACGCTCCATCTGGCCAGGGCTGGGAAGTGTATTTTAGGATTTGATTTATTTATTGTTATGAAAAAGGAGGGAGAGGAACGTGTACGTACAAGAGAAACATCAATCAGTTGCCTCTCACCCACCCCCAGCAGGGACCTGGCCTGCAACCCAGACATATGCCCTGACTGGGAATCGAACCAGCCACCTTTCAGTTCTCAGGCCAGCACCCAATCCACTGAGCCACGCCAGCCAGGGTGAAATTTTTAATACTATTTGAATGAGGGGCCCCACACTTGAACTTGAACTGAGCCCCACAGATTAGACGGTAGTCGGTCCTGGTCGTGTGCACATGGGAACGGAAGCTATGAGGAGTGGAGGGGATTTCCGAGGCGGAACATGTGGAGTAAGGAGAGCAGGGGGCACCGAGATGAAGCCCGAGCATTTAAAGTAGACTATGAACCAGAGAATAAAACAGCATCGGACAGGAATGAGGAAAATCCAGTGTCCTTCTACCCAAGGGGAGAAAGGGTTTCAAGGAGGAAGGAGTGGTCCGTATATTCAAATGGCCTGAATGGATGGTCGAGCAAAACGAGGACAAAACTGTATCCATCCGATTTGGTGGGATGGAGGCGACTGGTGACCTAGGCAAGAGCAATACGGTCAAGTGACGGTAAAAGAAGCCAGATTTCAGTGAGTGGAGGACTTAGAGAAGCTGAGGGGATGGAGAGTCAGCAATGAAGGGAGGAGAGATACGGGACGAGGATAAAGGGAAAGTGACGCAGGGTCACCGAAAACAGGTTTTTAAGGTGGGAGACATCTGAGTGCTGATAGGAAGGATGAAGGTGGGAGGGGCATCAAAGGCTGGGAGAGGGGATGATTGACAGAGTGAGGTCACTGGGAAAGCAAAAAGGGGCGGGACCAGAGCAGAGTGGAGACATTGATGGTAGACAAGAGGAGAAACACACCTTTCATATTAGCAGAAAGGGTAAGAAAGAAGGAAGGGAAAGAAGGAGGGAGGGAAGAGGGAGGAGGAAGGACAGGATCCGTGCACCACAGACCCCCCCCCCCCCCACCCTGTTACTCTGTCCAGGCTCTGAGATTTTTGCTCTTTGATTTCTGCTTCACTCTGTGGTTGGGGCCAATTCCTATTGGCCCTTCGTCCACTTCTTGGGCGGTGAATGGTACCCTTAGTTGTAACTGTGGCTTACCTGGACAAGGGGATTCTGTGACAGGAAGGTGGGCTCCCTGGTCCCCACTGGTCTGAAAGTGCCACTGCTTTCTTGGCACTGGTGAACAGACCTCCAGAGTTCATCTGAAATACCTACCAAGTAACACTCAGTATACGTATCCTCACTTTTTAAAATGGTATCAACAGTATTAGGCCCTTTTATTTCTCCACGAATGTCTATTTAATCTATTGTCAAAGTCCATTCCTTTCCCTGGGTCCAGGGCCTGAGCTTCTGTGTGCAGAGGAGAAATGATACAACAGACATACGCCCGTTCGCCCAGGGCAGAGAGTCACTGAGTGACGTATGTCTCGATCCAAAAGCCTTTTTCCCAGTGCCCACTATCAGTGGCCCACGCTGGCCCTTAGGGAGGGCACAGGCTGTCATAACTTCTCCGAGAGGCACACAGGTATTTGAAAAGGTAGGTCCCTGATCAGGCCACAGCACAAAAAGTGGATGTCCCAGTGACGACAGGAGATTACACACTCACTCCCTGTGCTTCCGTTGCATTCTCTCTGTGGGGAGCCTGCTCTTGGCCCTTCTCTCTTGCCCCACGCAGTGCTAGCATGAGAAGGGGGGCACGGTCTGCTCCCACCTTAGAGGCACTCTGTGCCCAACCCCAGCAGGAAGGGCCCAAGGGTAAAGAAGCATAGGTGTCATTAGACTAACATCAGGGCTTACCTGTGGTCCATCCTGGCTTCCCAGGAAACACCACAGCTCTGACCCGTGATGAGTGCGGAGTCCTGGGCGGCCTCCCCAGCATCCAGAGGCAGCAGTGGATGTAGGACTGATAAAGGGTTTGCAGATTCCCAGTCTTGGTTCTCCACTGGGCAGTGAACACCTGGAACCTTCATGAGGCTCTGGAGTCCAAAGTTCTCCAGAACGGATGCTTTATATCCCGGAGTCAAAACTCCTAATGTATACCAGGCTGCCCTCTCCCTTCTCGGTTGCCCTGGAAACCAGATAAGTAAACTTATCGGAATCTTTACATAAATTAAGAGCCAACTGCTCCTGAGCAATTTCCCTGAGTGCAAAGTATATATACTTCACTGACACCAATGTTGGCTTCTTAGATGCCTTTTTTAGCTTCCTTCCTAATTCCTGGCCTGGCTCCGTACAGATGCAACTGTCCAATAAGTGAGTTCCAGGTCGTGTTTCAGTGTATTGTTATCGCTGTCTCCATGTTGGTCCTGCTGTCGCCTTAAGGAGCATTTAGCGTATTGCCCCACAAAACACCACAGGGAAATCCAGCCTTTCTAATCGCTGACCTGGTTCTGTCCCCTCCAGCCAGTACCCAACGGCCGAGGTGGTCAACTTTGGCACCTGGTTCCTCTTCAGCTTCCCCATCTCCCTCATCATGCTGGTGGTCAGCTGGTTCTGGATGCACTGGCTGTTCCTGGGCTGCAAGTAAGTCCCAGATGCTGCCAACACGGCAGAGGCTCTCCTGTCACCCGAGGTCACGGCGCAAACCTGGGAGGGCACCCGCCACTCGAGAGGGAGCTGCCAAGGGGCTGAGAGGGTGCCCCTAGCAGACTATGGTGGACTGGGTGGCGCTTCAGGCATGGTCTGCGCTCAACACACAAAACACATGTGAGCTGTGCACCTCACTATGAGCTCCATGATGCCACGTTCTTAACTACAATTAATGGGTTAGAGGGGCTATCAATTTATTGAGAGTCTGGATTAAAGAGCGTTTAATGTAGTTTCTTTGCTCTCAACGCATAGAAAGTAATTTCAACTAACTTCTAAAGAAATATGATTCCAAGTAGAAGGTGCCTTAGACGTGAGTGATTTATATTCAGTAGTCATATGGAAGATGCTCCTCTAGCCATGTTATTTTGCACATTAATCTGTTTGACAAGCCTCTTCTTCACAACCACTAGCCTAGGTCTACTCCGGATTTGACAAGGGCCACAGGCCTCCAGCACATAAAAAGAAGAATTATTATCTACGAAGTTTTGCTATTAGTCCATGGAATTCTATGTTCCCATCGGTCAGGGAATGGTCTCTGAGCTGACATATATTTTATGACTCAGAGGCTGTTGTCAAAGCAATGACAGCTGAATATTTCTATACTTCCAGCATTGCAAACAGAAAAGCAACACTCTAGGCAGATAAACACACTGGTTCACACACACATATGTGTAACACACAAGTGTATAGAAACGACCTCACATAAATACGCCTGCGTAAGTCCACAAGGTGTAACTTCACGTGGATTAAGCTCCAGATGGATAATCCAAAGGCTAGGGAAGAAGGTTGATGAGGGGCTGTGCAACTTGACTTATAAAAGCCACATGGTAGGTGGGGTTGGCGGGGCAGCCTGTGTAGGTGGAGAGAAGTGTTCAGGGCAAGCCAGTCACGTAGCATTCACTTAATACTTGGTCTCCTGGGTTTCTTTATTCTGCTGCTCATTCTCCCTTCTCAGTTTTAAAGAGACCTGCTCTCTGAGCAAGAAGAACAAGACCAAAAGGGAAGAGTTGTCAGAGAAGAGGATCCGAGAGGAGTACGAAAAGCTGGGAGCCATCAGGTAAGAACCCGCCCCTCACCCCCTGTCCTCCAGGAGAGAACAACAGCCCGGGCAGCCAGCACAGAGCAGCCCTGTCCCTGACGTGCCCTGGAGCCAGGGGGTCCCCCACAACCACAAATCCAGGCATGTAGAGGTACTGTTTCCTGCCACAGTCTGGCTGGCTCAGATTCCGGGTGGCCACTCTTCCCCTTCACGATATTCCGGGCTAAGGTATAGCCAAGGCGTGGGGGTGGAGGGTCACGGACAGGCAGCCAGGGGACAGAGAACAAAGCGAGGCAGCTCAGCCACACTCTTGAGGAATTCTGGAGGGTCAGGCCTCCCCACGTTGCTCAGGATGGGCCCCCACAGGTCCAGCAGCCACTCCCAGGGAGCTGGGGGCTTCGTGCTGCACGTGGGAGCCTCAGGCAGCACCAACCACAGACCTGAAGACAGAGAACCCACTCACTGACCCTCAGCCACATCCTCCCTTCTTTCTTCTTACCGTTTGATTTTATTGATTCATTTATCCATCCATTCCTTCATTTTACCATTAGCTGTTTCAGAGCCATTTCTACCAGCTTTCCCGCAGTGGCCGTCAGCCCTATTCCCTGCTGTTTTGCCTTCTGTGGCAATTGGCATGTTCAACTTTGGGGGAAAGGATACGGGTTTAAGCTGCCTTTTTAAAAAAAAAAAAACTAATTTATATAAGGAATACATGTTCATTGTTGAACACTTTGAAAATACAGAAAAATATAAAGAGTTAAAACAGACCTGTATTCCCGGCACCCCGGTGTTAACCATGAACAACGGTTAACGTGATGTACTGTCCCTTCCTTTTTCTTTTCGTGCATGAGCAAAATTGTATATATTTTTGCTAAAACTCTGTCCATTCCGAACAGTAGCACAGCTCTCCTGGTTTCATGTGGCATCAGACTGCGGCATGTGCCCAGGGGGCATCTGCTGGACGAACACCATTAGTAGGCATCTCACCGTAACCAACAGCTTTGCTGAAAGGTATTCGAGGCCAGGGAACATCACTGGATAAGTAGGTTGTTTTCCTAGGAACATGCAAATGCTTTTAAATGGATAATGCTCCGAAGTGCATTCCAGGTTCTTTTCTTAGATAAAAGGAATGACCGAATTGAAGGCCCTTGAGAGTTATTGTCAGGTTGCCTCCAAAAAGCTGTGGCAATTCCTCCTTGGACCCGCCGTGTCTGCAGGCTGTGTTTCCGATTATCTGGTAGCCGTGTGATGCGGTACCCTCCCCGCACCACACCCACACGTCCCCAGTGAGGCCGGTAATGCCCAATGGCAGGGTCTCGGCCCTCTTCCCACTGCACTCCCGCGCACAGAGCTGCTCAGTAACTGCTTCCTGCCTCCCGCGCTGGGGCTCCGGACACAGGAGCCTCACGAAGCATGTGCCAGCTGCCAGGAGCTGTCCTGTTTTATTCCGTAGCTACCCCGAAATGGTGACGGGGTTCTTCTTCATCCTGATGACCGTGCTGTGGTTCACCCGGGAGCCCGGCTTCGTTCCTGGCTGGGACTCTTTCTTTGAAAAGTAAGTGAGAGCGTCCCCTCCTCAAGAACAGCCCTGTCAAGTAAACTCTGGGGCGGCTTCCACGGGCACCTCCTTCCAGATATTCAGGGACGGGTGTGACGTCAGGGAGATACTTCGTTCCTGGGAAAGTCCTCCTTTCCAGCGAAGCTTCGGGAAGAAGAGGTAGTCTGTGGAGTCCGAGTCACAGGCCGGGGTCCAAGGCAGCCGCTTCCCTACTTCTCTGAACTTGGCCTTATGACTCAGGCTCTTGGGACTTCAGCTGTCTCATGGGTTGCTAGGAGACTCGAAGGGGAAATGCCCATAAAGTAAAATACCAACTGGAAAGAGACCACGGCCAGGGAGCGGCTGAGGCGTATAGAGGGAAAGGCAAATGGAGGCTCCTGTCCTGACCCCGCATCCTCTCCTGGAGGCCGGGCCACAGGCCTCAAGCTCTCCCCACACAGGTTTCCAATTGAGAAAAGACACATGAGGAGTCATGACCCCCGCAGGAAAGAGGGCCCACCCTTGTCTATTCTCCACCCTCGCAACTCCTCATCACTCCTTCCAGGACTCGCCCCAGCCCGCGGGCCCACAGATCCACACTGACTCATCTCCCCCAGCCGGGCCCTGCCTCCAGACTCGAACCATTGCCCATTAAATCCACCGCTGCACAGCCAGCAAGACTGGCAGTGAGGAAGGGTGATACCCCCTCCAGACTGTCCGACAAAGGGGCCTTGTGTTCCGACTGTCCCGAGACACCGTGTCGCCCTGGGGTGGCCTGGCCCTCCAGTCCAGCCTGCTTGTCTCTTTGCCAGGAAAGGCTTCCGCACTGATGCCACAGTCTCCATCTTCCTTGGCTTCCTCCTCTTCCTGATTCCAGCGAAGAAGCCTTCCTTCGGGAAAAAGAAGGATGGTGAGAGAGTTTGAGGGGAGACACTGGGGCTGGCTCCAGTCACATAACGCCCAAGTCAGAATTTTCAGGAGCCCGACCGAGGCCCTTTGATTCTGCCAAACACAGCAGGGCAGCTTCCCAACCCACCCAGCTCCTTAGTCCGGCCCCTTGTCTCCACAAGTCACACCCGTTAGGGTGAGTCCGGCTCTACCTCCCTGTCTACCTGTGACCCAGGGGAGGACCGGGAGCCCTCGCCGAGGGCGGAGCCCATCATCACGTGGAAGGACTTCCAGAAGACCATGCCCTGGGAGATCGTCATCCTGGTGGGAGGCGGCTACGCTCTGGCTTCCGGCAGCAAGGTAGCTCTTGAGTTCGTTCTTTCTTGACCGGGTATTTCTCCAGCTGCCTTACCAATCACTCCGGTTCTGGGAGGGAAGATTCAAAGGAGCTGACTGAGAGGTGCATGTGCACCCAGGGTGCTGGGAAGGGAAGCAGTGCTGCCGGGATTAGATACGCCATCCTCCGGGTGCTCCTAAGCTCGTGCTGCAGGGACCAAAGTTACACACCAGCTGTGCCCCGGAGTTGTGGCACATGGCAGTCACACCCCACTGATGGGCTGGCACTGTCACAGTAGAAGGTTCACTTGATTTTGTAGCCATCTCCTTCTGCTGATGTGACAGTTGGTGACAGGAGATGTGTCTGTAAGGGCCCAGAGACACCCCCCAATGACGCACAGCAAACTGTCGCTCAGTCAGTCCCCATGCATATAGTGAGCCCCTTTGGAGAAGATAGGCTAAAGCTGATGTAAATGCCCCCCGATTTCCTGACTGGGAGGATTTGGGAGGAGATCTTTTCAAGGGAGCTGATGAGAAATACTTGAATTTCCTACAGTGCTAATCCTTCCTAAAACAGAGAACGACACTGCAAATGAGTCAGGCAGAGGTTCACACCGGCCCTCCCTCTGGCCTCTCTGTACGCATTGCCCGTCCTAAACTCATGAGCAACTGCTATCTGCATCGTTACTGGGTCCTGGAGAGTGACCCACATGCACACTGAGTCCCACCTCCCCTGCAGTGTGAGATTCCCCTCGGAGATGCCCGAACCCAAACCCCCCCAGTGACAGGGCGCTGCTCCACTCCAGCGGGGAACGAAGAACAGGGATTCTCCACTTCCATTCAGCTCCGGTCTTCTGGGGGGATGCCCCTGACGGTCTGGCACTGTTCTCTGGAAACATCTTTAGGTGATCAGTATTAAAATAATAACTTATCAATCCTCCTAGATCATTTTTGTCCAACTAGAACTCCTCAGCCTTTTTAACTATTCCTCATAATAGTAGTGACCCCTTACCTGATGGTTCACTTCTCAGGGCTCAGGGGTTTGCCCTTGGTCTTCTTCAAACATCGTCCAGGGGGAGTGAGGGTAAGGCAGTTATACTCCTCCAGCCCCATCTCTCACGTCTCATCCAAGCACCATCCTGTATATGTGTGGAAGATTTTATGAGATTTTCCTTTGGTTCTCATGTCCACATTTGTGTTGGAATTGCAGTAAACTAAACTCTTCATTCTTTTCATTGTTAGCCACTATTAGGCCTCAAGTTCTCCAACCAGTTCTGCATATATGCTGTCAGTATTTTCAAATCCAAGTTCGGGATATCGTATTTATCTTTATTGAGTTTCAGGGGTTAAATCTGGCCTCCGAGCCTAGCCTGGCAAGATCTTTTTCTTTTTTTTTTTCATGTTGTCATCATTAATTGCTCCGAGGAGTGCAGCAATTTCCTTTTTTTTTTTTTTTTGCATTTTCCCTTTATTTTTTAAAAATATTTTATTAATTATGCCATTACAGTTGTTCTATTCCCCCCTTCATTCCCCTCTACCATGCACACCCCCTCCCCCACCATTCCCCCCTTTAGTTTATGACCACGTGTCTCAAGTTCTTTAGATTCTATATTTCCCATACTATTCTTGCCCTCCCCCCATCTATTTTCTACCTACCGTCTATGCTACTTATTTTCTGTACCTTCTCCCCCTTCTCCTCCTCCCACTCCCCTGTTGCTAACTCTCCACGTGATCTTCATTTCTATGGTTCTGCTCCTGATCTAGCTGTCTTCTTAGTTTGCTTTTATTTTAGGTGTGGTTGTTAATAACTGTGAGTTTGCTGTCCTTTCACTGTTTATCTTTTTATCTTCTTTTTCTTAGGTAAGTCCCTTTAACATTTCATATAATAAGGGCTTGGTGATGATGAACTTCTTGAATTTGATCTTATCTGAGAAGCACTTTATCTGCCCTTCCATTCTAAATGAAAGCTTTGCTGGATAGATCAAACTTGGTTGTAGGTCTTTGGATTTCATGACTTGGAATATTTCTTTCCAGCCCCTTCTTGCCTGTAAGGTCTCTTTTGAGAAATCTGCTGACAGTCTGATGGGAACTCCTTTGTAGGTGACAGTCCCCTTATCTCTTGCTGCTTCTAGGATTCTCTCCTTCATTTTAATCTTGGCTAATGTAATGATGATGTGCCTTGGTGTGTTCCTTCTTGGGTCCAACATCTTTGGGACTCTCTGAGCTTCCAGGATTTCCTGGAAGTCTATTTCCTTTGCCAGATTGGGGAAGTTCTTCTTTATTATTTGTTCAAATAAGTTTTCCACTTGTGGCTGTTCCTCTTCCCCTTCTGGTACCCCTATAATTCGGACGTTGGAATGTTTAAAGACGTCCTGAAGGTTCCTAAGCCTCTCCTCATTTTTTTGAATTCTTGTTTCTTCATCCTTTTCTGTTTGGTCATTTTTTTCCTCCTTCTGGTCCACTGCTTTGATTTGAATCCCAGTTTCCTTTCCATTACTATTGGTTTCCTGTGTATTTCCCTTCATTTCAATTAGTTTAGCTTCCATATGTTCCTCTAATTTGTGACTAAAATCAACCAGTTCTGTGAGGATCCTGATCACCAGTGTTTTGAACTGTGCCTCTGAAAGTTTGGCTATTTCTTCATCGCTTAGATTTATTGGCTCTGGGGCTTTGAGATCTTCTTGAGCCATGTTTTGATCTGTTCATGCTTGTTATGTCTGAGGAGCAGAGCCTTAGGTGTTCACCAGGGTGGGGCCACCCAGGTCGCTGGTTTGTGACACTTATGTGGGGGCGGGGTCAGAGAGGGAGCAATGGCGGTTCCCTCTGCTGCTTCCTGCCACTGGGGCCTGCGCAGTCCGTCTCACTGCTAGCTCCTTCACTGGTTTATCTGCACACTAATGTGTGACTGCAATCAGCCCTCGGTGGGTCCACCCGCTTCTCTACACCTGAAATCCACCCACGGCTGCTGGCGCACCTGGGTCGCGCTGCCCCGGTCAGTTTGGTGGATCTTTCCTGCCCGACCCTCCTCTGCTGCTGGCTCTGCCCCTCTTACCAGTTTGGCTGAAGGGTTCATTGTTGTCAGACTTCTGTGTAGTTCAATTTTCTGTGGTTTGGCTGCATTTTTGTTGCTAAAACTTTGTTGTTTTTAAACTTAGTTATGGGAGAAGGTGCAGTGCTTCCACCTATGCCTCCATCTTGGCGGAAGTTCCAAGATCTTTTTCTTTTTCACCAAAATTGGGCCTGTGTGACAGACAGTGCAGTTTACATTTCTGCAAAACCCTGTCTCAATAATTCAGGTTACAATATTACCATATATGTAATTTCTATGGAGCTTGAAATAATTTCAGTCTTGACATTAGTGAGGAACATCCAAAGCAAACTGTTTTCATACCAAGGGTTTAAGCAATGAAGACTTCCTTCGTTGTGTTTTTTTCTAACTTGGTGGTCTCGTTTGTCAATTTATCTCAGATAAATTGTATAAAACTGTATATATTGTATACAATTGTATAAATTGTATATAGTATAAAATAGTTCTTCTGGGGAAAAATAACCTCCATTAATTTTTTCACTTTACTTACAAGTGCTCTTTGGATAACATGGTAAGTAAAACTCCATTTCTTTATCAAAAATATATATATATGGTTTCCTCTGCATGACCTGCCCTCCCTCCCCTGTCTCTGCCCACTGATCAAGGTTTAATGTGTCACAAGAGCTACACTTACAGACTTCCTATCGGCCCACAGGCTCTGTACCAACCACGAAATGGTGTAGTCCCCAACTATTGGACTTGCAAATAGTCAGTCAGTTGAAAGGAAAAAAAAATAAAGAAAAGTATGCCAAGGTTAAAATGGCTGCAACAGAGCAAATTCTGAAGGTCTGGTCATCAGCTCTCTGCGAGCTGGCCGTGAGGAACCTGGGCGCTGAGGAGGCTGAATGAGCTTTTGGTGATTTGGAGAAGGAAAAGCAGCCTGCTGACCAGACAGAGAGGGGCTGTTGTTAGTTGTGAAATGTGAACAGAGCGGGAGGAAGCACAGAATGTCCCACCCTGCTCTCTGCCCTGCGCCTCCTTTCTCCACTGCATTTGCAGTCTCTTGGGTAAAGAAGAAAAATCAGAGCACCTCAACCACAGAAGGGAGAGGAGGGAGGAGGGCGGGAGGTTGCATGAGGCAACCTGGGTTTTTTTTTAGCACAAACACTAAACGCTGCTCTTCATGTTTTTGGAAAGGGGCAGAGCCCTCCCCGTTGCCACACAAACAGCTTCCACCCCAATGAATCATTCCAAGTGGGAACGTTTGCTTCTTGGAGTGGCTATGTATAAGTGTTGCTGCCGGAGAAAGTTCAAGAGTGGCAATACGCTTTCATATCTGGTGGCCTCAGAAAGCACAGGCAGGCTGTAGACCCTGATGTCAGCCACGATGGGGATAGAACCTCCGATGGGTCGTGGCCAAATGCCCGCACTCACAGGCCGGTGAGGAGGCGCCGGCCCCACTAAAGGCAGACGGGCTAGCGATCCTACTCCCCTCACGACTCAGGTAAAACTCCTAATGTTCAGCTCAGCCTGCTTGCTCTCCCTCAAAATGCAGGAATGGTTACTATCTAAAGAGGTTCCTAGTTTTTCCCTCTCTCGGGGGATGAGAGAAACATTTCAAAAGCAGGAGGATTACACTTGGCACCATAAAGGCCGCCCCGACTGGCTGCATGCAGACGGTGAGCGCATCTGGGGCTGGAGAGAGAGTAATGACATGGAGGTTGAGGAGCCCATGGGTCTTCAGCCCCTGCCCGGCCGTCGTGGCCGTTCGTGTGGGTGGCTCTCCATTCCCGTGACAGCAACTGAGCAGGAAACCCTAAGATTGAATATTGTACAACTAAAACCAAAAAACTACGGGCTACCAAAATGATCTAATGGTAAAAATCGGGAATGCCGCGGGTCCAGTCTGCCTGAAAACAGGGAGGGGAGCTGGAGCGCCCCTGTGGTTCCGACAGCCCCGCCTCCCTCCCGGCCTCCGAGCTCCCCTGGCACTGTGCTCCGCCCCCTCCTCTAACAACGCCTTGGCCCGCAGAGCTCCGGCCTCTCCACCTGGATTGGGCACCAGATGTTGTCCCTGAGCAGCCTCCCACCGTGGGCAGTCACCCTGCTGGCGTGCATCCTGGTGTCCATTGTCACCGAGTTTGTGAGCAACCCCGCCACCATCACCATCTTCCTGCCCATCCTGTGCAGCCTGGTGAGTGGCGCAGGGCTCCCGGCCGGACGGACAGACAGACGGGCGGGCCGCCCGGGGGCCTGCAGGGGCAGGTCTGGGCCAGGGAGCCGCTTCCACGGCTGTCCTCTCTCCTCTGGTCATTTCCACAGCCTTCACTCGCTGATGTTCAAACAGTAGGTTGAGAGATTACGTTTTTCCAAAAACCACTGGTAGGTAAATAGATGAATTAGTAAACCACAGCAAACTATTCTAGAAACCTTCTCCGAAAAGACTAGGAAGGATTCGTGTGGGGGCAGCCCTGAATGGAAACCTCACGGCCCTAGGACTCCAGTTCCCCGGAATCTTCCTCCTCCTCTCTGTCCTGTGATGAGCAGGGCTGGAAAGTAACTACAGAACATGGAGACAAAATGCTCCCAGAAGGACACTCAGCGACAAGGACACTCAGCGACAAGGACCGAGACTACTGCTCTGCCATCACCTCCCCCTAGTGTCAGTGTCCAGAAGGTTCTGAGAGTCCGGAGCAAGGCCAGCCTCATCCCACGACTGTAACAATCTATTAGTAATGGAACAGGGCAGGGCAGCAGCTGCCAGCTCTTAGCCTGGCTAAGCGGCCCCAACAGTAATGCAGCAGACACAGTGTGTCCGTTCTGTGAGGCGGAACCTATGGACTGAAGGCTCCTCCCGTTCCCAGCAGAACGACGTCTCCCTGCTCTGACCCCAAACTCTCAGCTCATTGTTCAGATGCCCCCCTCCCATCCCCACCTCCCACCATCTCATTGGTGCGAGCACGGGAGAACACTTAGTTAAAACTTGGCAACCCCGAGGGCCAGCGGATGGGGCGAGAAGCTTACCCAGGAAAGAAGGCCCCTTAGCTCTGTACCCCAACATCCAGGCATTTCTACTTCAAAATCAAAGCAGCCTACTGCTGAGATTTGTGTTCAAAGAACTTCTCAGCTAGAGAATAAAATTTAGAGACCACTTCCGTAGACCAGCACTGAGCAGTGAAACGCCCCTCCCAGGAATCGAGTTCCTGACGTGGAGCCGTGTTCCCGTGGGGAGGGAGCGAGTGGTGTGAGCACGTCTGCGTGCCTTGGAGGGCAGTGATCTCGTGACCTACGAGCATGAGGGGTGCAGCCACGGCTGGCCAACCCCGAGCCACCGTTTGAAGCAGGCCTGCGACGTTGCGCCCAGGAAACGGCGGTCTCGGGTCCGTGCTAACGCTGCTGTGGTTCTCTTCCTCTAGTCCGAGACGCTGCACATCAACCCGCTCTACACCCTGATCCCCGTCACCATGTGCATCTCCTTTGCAGTGATGCTGCCTGTGGGCAACCCCCCCAACGCCATCGTCTTCAGCTACGGGCACTGCCAGATCAAAGACATGGTGAGTGCGGGGCCTCCTCGTGCCGGGCCGGCTCCACAGCCTCCTCCTGAAGTTTATTCTTTGGCAGCGGCTGTCTGCGGACTCGCCATGCTCGGTCTAGCGTGGCGGAAAGAGTGGGCTCGGGGCAGGGGGTCCATGAGCACCAAGAAGGGCCATAAAGGGCTCCCACCAGCCCTTTTCTGGGAGCGAGGGGGCCATGGAGGGAGAGAGCTGGACCAGACCCAGGCTGTGGCCAGGTCCCGAAGGCGTGAGTTTGTCCTTGCTTCAGTTTCCTCATGGGACTGGTGGGATAGCCATTCAAAAAGCTGGCTTACTGCCAGGAGGCGAAGTTTGAGAAACTGTATGAACCTAAGGTAAAAGGTCTCTTGTGAGAAGAGCGTCCTTTTGTTGAACTCTCCCTGAAGCAACATGGCAAAATGAAGCACCCACAGCTCATTTCTCGGCTTTCAGCTGGGCTCACGAAAGACGGCTGTGAGGAGGCTACAGCTGGTTCTAGGGCTGGGCACACCCACCTCCAGCTCCTCGGCCTATACTCACGACTACTCGGCTTCACGCCCAGGACTGGGGGAAGGGCGAAACAAGCTAGTACAGAGGCCCGGGGCCCTCGCTGAGGGCCTCACACATTGTTTTCACTAGAGTCCAGACTCATTCCCAGCAGCCCCCTTAAGTGTCACATGAAAGAAAGAGTGAGCTTCAAGCTGGTGGCAGATACTCAGGTCCTTCTACCGTCCAAACGGCTCACCCAGCTCCCCTGCAATACCTTGGCAAGGTCATGGCCACCCCTTTCCCCGTCCTGCTGCACAACCCTCAGTCTCACCCTGAGCTCTGCCCCATCTGTCCCCCGCGCCCCTGCTGTGCACCCCCACCACTCACCACAGCCTTCGACCCCAGAATCAGATGATCAGAGGAGGTAACTTTCAAAAACACCGGACGACAAGAAGTGAGCCAGTCCTCGGTTCTACTTCCCACTTGAGACTTCGGTTTCCTTACCCGCATGGCTAGGATGCTCTACGTGGTCCCCTCAGCTCTAAATGACCTCAGCTTGGCTCCTTTACAACCTGCGCCCTCTCAACTGCTAGGAAACACGGGCGGTTCTCCACCCCAGAAGGCCCAGGGGCAAGACTGATGAGCATGTCCAGGGCTTGTGCCAGAAAGCAGAGGGGGGCCGCGTCCACTCATTGGCTTGGACGGTTTCCAGCTTCCCCTCGCGCCCTCCCCAATTAACGCCAGCCGGCGGGCTGGCTGAGGCTGCACGCTGGGCCCGGACACACCTTGGCCGGGAGCATTTGCCCACCTGGCCCTGGCTGTGCCACCTGTCACGCCTCACAGCCCCTCACCTGGGAGTCCCAATGCCGTGGCAGAAAGGGAAGGGGCCCGTCACTGAGGTGACATTCCCTCGGAAGAAAGCCACGCCTGTGTCCCCTTCCCGTGGAAGGGCTGAGCAGACGCAGCTGACCCGTTCCCCCAGGGGGACCCCCAGCATACAAGTTCCACGAGCTGTTCCTTGAGGAAGAAAAGGAAAGGGTAACATCAGTGGCAAAGGCTCCACAGAACGCGGCCCCTCCTACAAGTCCCTGGACCTGTCAGCACAATAGAGCTCTGGCCAGTTCCTGCCCTAGAGACCTGGGTGATTTCAACACATTTCCCTATCGTGTAGCTGCAGGACCCCTTTTTAGGGTAACTCTTAACGTTCACATCTCTGGGGGTCGGAGCATTTCCCTTCCGGGCCTCCTCTCGATGGTGAGGGGGCTCCAAGTGGAGAGGATTCGAACAGCCTCTCCCAGCCTGAGCCTCCCCCCCCCCCGCCCCAGTCCTTCCAGTCCTGTGCCAGCCACCCTGCAGGGCTACCCTGGAGCACCGCAGGTGGTGCCGGGAACAAAGCAGGGTCCAGCTCATGGGCTGCGATGGGGGGCGGGGCACAGATGGGGCGCACTCAGGGTGCCTGCTCGCAGTGACAAGGGTGTGCTGCTTTGTGTCCTGCAGGTGAAAGCTGGCCTGGGGGTCAATGTCATTGGCCTGGTGATAGTGACGGTGGCTATCAATACATGGGGAATTAGCCTCTTCGACCTGGACACTTTTCCAGCCTGGGCCAGTAACGTCACTGATCAGGCCTAACACAACCAAGGGAGCGGCCGACCCCAGCAGGATCTGACACCGATCGGTGAATGGGCCAAGAGAACGCCAGGAGCCTACAACCCCCACCAGAAGATTCCGCCACCTACCACCTCAAGTGCAGGACAGGATGCCTCCCCCACACAGCCAGAGCTCAAGAAAACCGACCCCTTCCTCACTTCTTTGCATCTCGTCTCTGCAGAATGCCCGCCCTGGCCGCCCCTCGGGGGCTAAGCCTCCTGCACTGGGTGTGACGTTATTAATTTCTCAGTCCCTTTGCAGGAGTTGAAGGAGGAATGCAAATCATCCTGCCCAGGCACCGGTAGGGAAACCAGGGGCATCTCCTTTGTAGGGAAATCTCACCGAGAACGCGAGACCTTCCGTCAGCTCCTTCCTCTTAGTCGTTTCTGTCCCAAGTCCTCGCCACAGAAACGCGATTCTTAGTAAGTCCTCTGTGCAGTCAGAACTCGTTTATTCACTACCCCGATTCCCTTTTAAGCACCTCTCTTCAGTGGCTTCTCTTTACCTTGGCCCCAAATTCCCATAAAGAAATACTGTTCCCCTTTCGAAAAAGGCTGCTGTCCCTTCTGTCAAAGGACAAGGAGGTAGAGAAACAAGACACATTGTGATTAGCATCTCTCTCTTCACACATCACCAACCATCAATACCGCTGTGCTGGTTAAGTGTTGGGAGGGAGGCAAATTTTCATACCTGTCTTATGAAGGAGGCCAACACTGTAATTAAGACCACGGCACTATGATGAGAGGTGACTGGCTTTCTTCTGGATGGAACGAGGCTCCTGAGAAGGCAGGCACTGAAAGGGCCAAACCCAGCAGTCACTTTCTCCAAGTTGACGAGCCCTTGCAGAGGAGAGATGTCTCATGTCTCTGCAAGTCCCCAGTGACTTATGTGATATAGTAAACTGTAACTGCTCAATAAAAGTTTCCTCGAGAAAAACCACTTAAAAATCAAAGCCTCCTCTTCCTCCTGAAAACCTAACCATTTCCTCCAGGGTGGATGTCCTTGCTCTATGACTGGATATAGGACGGGACTCCCCCGCAAAAAAGAAATTTATACTTATTTCTAAAAAATTGTGTTTAAACATGTTTAAACTTCAGTCACCTTCAAAGTTCTCTCCATTTAATGCAGCACACCTATCGGGACACTCCACTGCTCAAAACAGTTTTTGAACTCCTCAATTTTGATGCCTTTTAGTGCTTCTGCCATTTTTTTTTCACCTTTTCCACATTGAAAGGGTCTTCAAAAGATTTACTGAGGCCAAACATAGCCTCTCACAACAACGCCAGGTGGTTCGCTGATACAGATGGGTTCCTAGAACACTCACCTAGCAGGGGAAGCCTGTACTACAAGGGACCCACCCTCCAGAAAATAACTTCAGGGGGGTTTTGGGTCCCCCCCTTGTAGTACCCAAACCCTCCAGTTTCCTGGCATTGTGTATGTCTGATTTCTACCACTGGTGACTTGCTAAACACATCTCATGGGACAAGGAGTGCCCCATAACTTTAAACATCGTTTTAGTGATTTTAAAACACGGGCTGTCTTAGCATGTGCCATTGTTCCACGATAATTGATCAATGAAGTCATTCCACTGGTTTATCTAATAACTGCAAACTGTCAAACTTCTTTCGTGCTGGTCAACACTTCTGTGCTCTGACCACAGCATATGGCAGACCGGGTTTAACCAGGAATGTCTCCGTGTCTGCCCCGTCAATGAGCCTGGGCCGAGTTACTTGGCCACGTGCACCACTGATGACCTCATGAGCCCAAGTATCATACCAGTATTAGGTTACTATGGCTGGTCAGATCGAGCCAGCATCTCTATGGTTATTTTGCTTTAGCTCACAGGTGGCAAACACAAGGCCGGTGGGCAGAATCCGGCCCTCCACCTTGTTTTATCCAGCCTGGAACCTTGTTTCCACCCAGCGGTGGCACTGAGATCTCACTTAACTGTGAAGGAGTAGTGACATTTATACAGCCCTAAAATTACATCCAGCCCTGTGAAGGCAACTGCGAGGCTGACGTGGCCCCCAGTGAAAATGAGGTGGACACCCCTGCTGTAGTTGTTCGGAGGAGTCGGAGTGTCACTCCTGCTGTCAGGAGTGTCATCAAGTGGCTGACCTGTTACAGAACCGAGATGGTAAGCCCCTAAGTCAGACAGTAAGACAAAGGCCCAGATAGTTGGTAAGATTCTGGGAGTATAAATAACTACAGAGAAACGCTGACTTGGAATTAGCGGCCGCGGCCTGGCTGTTCAAGAACCTGACTCATCCCACAGGGAGAGCAGCGAGGCTCCCCCGGGCAGCTGCTGCCGGGTAGGAGCGGAGGCACCGGGCTCACCACCGAGGCAGAGCCTGCTCGACGGGACAGCCCTGTCCTCTGCCCCAGGCGGAGTCAGGCCCGACCAGACCGCCCCTCACCAGGGCTGACAATCTCTGGTCATCTACCACCACTGCACGCTGGGTGTTAACAGCTCTCCCTAGCAGTTGTATGTCTCTTGCAGGCGTATTATAATTTGCTTTTTATCTTCTGTCACAATATGGATGGAGACACTGTAAATGATCACCTTATACCAGCTCACTTGACCGATGGCGAAGATGAGAAACAAAGACTCTAAGTATCTATCACTGCATCTTATTCTCAACTCAATTACACATCCAATTTGTTTAGTCAAAGTTGCCTTTCGACCACCTTTAAGTCACCCATGAAGCACATGGTATACAATCTTTTCCGTTACATTTACACGGCCCAAAGCTCATGTGCCATCTTAAAATAAATGTAAAAAATTGCTAGTTTTCCCTCCATCAGACTAGATCTGTTTCTCCAGCTGGATACCAAATAAAGTAGCTGGCTTCACACTCGGGGCCCATACTTGAAAAAGTGTCTCTAAACACTAGAGTCCCCAGTACGGCAAGATGCTGAAACCGTCAGTACACGGGAGGAACGGAGACCGCCCAAGCTCACAGGTAGCTCATTCTGCAGCTGCCCTCACCGAATGAGAGCTGAGCAAAGCCGCCCGCACGAGTGCACGGCACCTCGCCCAAGTCCCAGGCCCGTGTGACTGCCCGTGTCAGAACGGGGTCCCCGAAAATGCACCCTTCCTCAGGCCTCACCACGGAGGCAATGGTACAGGCAAGCCCAGGACTCGGGGCTGGCGGTGCCCCTCCCCGCAAACCCCAGCTTGTTCTCGTCTCCCGTGCCTTGCAAAACACGCCATCCATGAGGTCCTCAGTCTGGGACTATGTTGCACCCAGATGCAGGAACAGTATAAACTGACCGTGTGAAAGTCTAAATGTCACTAACGCCCCTGTTAAGACCAGGCAATGTCTCAAAATACTTTCCCTTCACCGCCCTGTTCCTTTCCACAAGGCCTTCACAGTAGAGGAAAAAAGAACTCATTCGTCTGAGTAAGGAATGGAAACGCTGTGTGCAAAGCCTCATTCACTCCAGGTCAGTGGGCAGTGTCCCTGCGGGGGAGCAATAGAAGGGGCATTCACACCCAGAGGCCTCGCGGAAAAACAAACGCCAGCCGTGTGTCCAGGGAGCGAGCTGCTCAGTGGAAAGGGAAACCTCACGTATGTGTACACGTGCCCTGTGAACCCCTGCACGCAGGCAACTAGGAAAACGCACAACTTTGCAGTCTCACAAATGAAAACTGACTGGAGGAACAAAAAGCAGCAAAATTCTGCTTTTAATTCGGAAGTAGGTAACTGCTGTTTGCACAAAATACTAAATCTGAAGAAGCCTATATTAAGACATCAAGTAACTAAAGTCCATACAGTCACAAACTACAGCCCCTCCTGATGATTTTAAATCAGGTGGTTTGGAGTTTTCTCCCCCTTTGTTTGTTTGGGAGGGTTACAGTTTAAGGATACGCTTTTCAAGTTCAATGTACTTCTTAGTTTCCACCACCAATCCTGAACTCTTATTTTTCACATGTGAGTGACCTTCCTTTTATGTCCGGTGTGGCAATAAGTTTTCTTAAATCACATCAATAGAAGTTTTCAAACATTTTTAAAGAAAAAAAAGGCCTGTCTTGCAGTGGTGCTTCCCATCATTCCATTGGTTTGTGAGGCCAGGGTCCCCACAAAACACCCAGGGAAAACGTGACCTCCACAATCACAATCACTGCCACCCCACCCACAACCACACCCTGAAATCTGATGGTTCCGAGCTCCCCCTGCATCTCGGGAAGACGACCTCGCCTGAGAAGTCCACGCGCCCGTCCGCTGCTGTAGAACATACAGTGGAGAGACGGTGTGGCCGGCGCCCCTGCATCGGCCTGCATTCACCGTGGAACAGCTGGGGGGCTCCCACCTGTGGAAACGATCCCGTCAGTGACGCAAAGTGCCGCTCCTGAGGGAAGCCCTGACTTCCAAGTGAGCTGTGTTCCCAAGGTGTGATAGAGACCTTCCTCCCCACATAAGGCTCTGCGGGAGCAAACACACAAACAACAAGGCTATGGTGACTGACGACAAGGAACACCCAAGCTTGTGGCGGCTGGAATACACTCAGGGCAGTAACCCTTCGTTCTTCGAGGCTACAATTCATTCCGTTAATGACTCAGCCATTTCGGGTCAAATCTTGTGAGCCTGGTGGTATGATCAAGGGGGGTGTTGTAGATTTTCATCAACAACCAGGACAGTGACCGTAGAATAATGACACATTTTGCATGGTTCATAAACTGGTTCCAAAAGTGAGTGCAGAGAAACAAAAGTACTCTGACCAAAAGCAGCACGTCTGAGCTAAGATCTACTATTTATTGGGTAAATCTGCAAAGCACTGCATATCACATACATTATCTCCATTGTTGCTCATGGAAGCCTATGAGGTAGGTATTGCGTCCAGGTCTTACAGAGAACACAACAGTTTCAGAGAAATAAGCTGTCTGCCCACGGTCACACTGCGAGGGAGAAGCCCGACCGTGATATGCTCCTGATCTGCCCCACCCCAGGGTGCGCCGATGGGTACAGCGCATCTCCGCGCACCAGCGCCGCGCACTTTCAGAGTAGAATCACTGCATTTTCTACTTGTGTGTATAGTCTCAGCATCACCCCTGTCTGGAAAGAGGTGTCTCTAAACAATCTTCCAGTTACTGCTTCTGCTAGAACATCCTTCGAAGAGGCATTATCAGTGAAGCTGCCCAGCAAGCCCTCCAAAACAAAGACACACAACGAAATGGGACTTTACTTATATTTAGTGCAAATGACAGTTTTAGGGCATTCGCTTATGGCTATACCCTGCCTAGATGTGTATAATAGGTTCAGGGTTATCACTGTAACTGCAGAAGACAGGAAACAACGTAACTATTCATCAGTAATAGGTTAAATAAATTATGGTATATCCATTCAACTGACTCTTATGTAGCCAGAAAGGGAGATTCCTTATTCCTTACATACTGACAATGGAGTGGGGAGGAAAAGGTCGGGGCAAAGCCTGCGTATAGTTGTTATCATCTGGGTAAAAAGCCCCGTGCACGCGTGTTTGTTCAGGCACAGAATCCTTCTCAAAAGTGCACAGTAAACAGAGAACAGTGCCTGCCCCTGGGAGAGCAACTAGGAGCTAGGGGGTGGGAGAGGCCCTTTATTGAGTCAATTGCAGAAAAGTGATATGAACATTTTTAACTTTTAAAAATGGACTGAATATACATTTAACAAATTATAGTGGTAATTTCTGACTGCAGGAAAAAAAGGTTTCTTGTGAGAATCACTCTAGTTGTAATGTAAATACCTTTTTTTAATGTGAAAAGGCATCATTTTTCCCTCATGTAATGTCAAATGTACCTATAATCTCTTAAAATAAGTATGATTTTTTTGAGGGAAAAGAGCCAGATCAAATACATCATCAAGAAAAAATGCGCATACTAGACTATGAAGTCTACTGAGGACAAACACCATTATTTTACATATTTTTTGATTCCCCAGTTCCTGATGGGGTTCTCAGAATGTAGTTTCTTGGTTGGAGTAGTAAATTGATTTATTGGTTAAGTTAGCAACTGTGGAGTTATATATCTCAGTTATACTGAGAACAGCATAGAGTAAATGGATAATTCACCAGAAACTGGCTTCTAGATTTTAATTTTCATGACCTTGAATCAACATAATTTAGTACCAAATGTTTCAACACCTATTATAATCGCTAAACTGTGAAATCGGCATTATTTATATCTGATCAGCTATACAAAACTCAGCGAGTTTTCTTATGAAAAAGGCAGTAGAAGTCCCAAAGAATAAGGGAGAGACCACTAATTAAAGGCCATGTTTACTAATCTAGCACCACAATTCCAGCCTCGGGACCCCCAAGCGACTGGCAGGAGGAAGGGAAGAGGTGAGGGCGTTGGAAATGTCAGGGCAGTTCTTAACTGGTGGCCCCTGTGTGTGCTCAAAGGCCGCGCGGGGTGGAGCGGAGGCGGAGACTGGAGAGTAAGACACAGGCTTTTGGTTCACGGGGTGGAGGAGGCCCGCAGGAGAGGCCTCCGGGGGGCAGTGCTGGAGCCGGCCTCATGGACTAGGGGGCTTCTTCTTGGCATCCAAGTCCTTTTTAATTTCTTCAAGTTTTTTAGCCAGGTTTGGTATCTTTAAAGAGAAAAGAGGTTATTATAATTTTGCATCTATCTAATCAATATTCTTTCACTTCTCCTCCTCCAAAGATAAATGGTTATTGTACAAGTGTTTATTCTCCTCCGGAAGAGATGCGCTCCACAGTGGTGGTTTTAGTCTCCTAACTGCAGAAGAAGGAGCTCAGACGCTGGACGCTAGAGGGCGCTCCCGGCCTGAACGCCAGGCCCGCTTTGACTTCATGCGCCCACTCATCCCTTTAATCCGTGCGGAGCGGGAGTCACTCACAGAAGTGGTAGGAGAGGTACAAACTGATAAAGCCCTTGCCTAGATGACAATTATATGACTCAAGTGCAGGTTGACAGAGGGAATTCCCTTTGTCACACCAAAAGCTTCACTACAAATCAAAAGCTAATATCACGTTTCCCTTCCTTGTGTCTAAAACAATCTCTACCTTTCCAAAATCACCATTCATGGGCAGTTTGCCACCTGGTTTTCAACTTCCCCATCCCCAAAGTGAGGCAAATACAACGCCCACGTCACAAAACTCTGCCCCCTTGAATACACTGCGTTATACAGATCCACCTCCAAAATCCCCAGTCCTCTCTACTCCTGGGCGTGGGGCCAGAAAAGATCGTCAGATTAAATTATCGCTTATAACTCAGTACTACTCTGGGCTAACAAACATGGCTCAGCTTCACCACGAGACCATCTACTGTGATGGGATTTTGCCCTCGTGTGCAAAATGAAGGACAGATGCTTCTGACTTCGGGAAATCTTTCTACAAAAAAAATCAGGGCTCCCCCCCACGACCATCTATGCCAGAGGGCACGCCTTACTTCAACAAAGACAAGTCCCTACAAATCAATTACATGGGATCATGGAGAAAATACAGTCACTTACGTCATAATTCTGAGCCAGATACATTCCAACCAGGTTGCCAAAAGTAAATCCAAGCTGAAAGAAGAGAAGGGGAAGAGTTACACTGGATACTGAGCTTGGTGCCAGCAGATGCCAAACCAAACTATATAAACAATATTCTCCTGAGGAGCTAATAAGCACAGTTAGAAGACCCCAGGATCCAATCTAGGGATGAAGAGTGCACAGTGTGAAATTCACATCTTGCTTCTATGAAATAAACTTTAAGCTTGCTAAGCTTTAAACACCAAAGCATAATTTAAATTGGTTTGTTAGTAAATTAAGAAGCATAAAAGAGGCTACGGTCTTTAATCATAGAAAATTTCTGATCATTTGATTAATCAGACACATCTTAGGAAATAGTATTTTTATCAAGGTGGGACTGGGGGCACTAAGAAGCAGAAAGATTGGCCCTGGTCAGATAGCTAAGCTGATTTGAGCGTGTCCTGATATGCCAAAGTTGTGGGTTCGATCCCTGGTCAGGGCACATACTAGAATCAATCAGTGAATGCATAAGTAAGTGGAACAACAAAGCAATGTTTCCCTTTCTCTCTCTCTCTTTCCCTCTCCACCCACTTCCTTTCTCTCTAAAATCAATTTTTTTTAAAAAAGCTTTTTTTCACTCCTATGGGTTGAAACTAGGTAGGATAGATGTTTTCGAAACCAGAAAGAGTATTAAATTTGCTTAAAAGAAAAGAGTGAGGAAAAAAACCAACTGGGAATATTAGCTCCACACCAAACAAAAAGAATATGCGGTTGAAAAGTTTTCAAAAAATTAAAAATAAACCAGACTTTTGGTTCCACCATTATCTAACTGTACCTATAGACAAGAAACTAAATCTCTTTGGAGCTTTGCTGATTTGAACTTCCTGATTTATAAAAACATTAAACTAACAATATTCCTTCCAGTTCCAACATTCTAGGATTCCTGCTTATTACCATGATAACTCAAAATAAATATGGTGTATCTAATGCGGCTTCACTCTGGCAACTTCATCAGACATCAGAGTGCATAAAAATAGAGCAGTGACTTAAAAACAGAAAATAAAACAAAAACAACTGGCCTCTAGACAAGTCATACCCAACTCCACTTTCGGAATACTGCCAGGTCTCCCAGCGGGACTCTGGAAAACTAAATACACAACAAAAGAAGAGAAATGTTGCGCATTAAGAGAAATGTTGGGAAAAAATTTGTAAAGTACAAAAAGCATTCATATGTTCATGAAATGTTTCACAGGCAAGTTTAGAAGAAAAAAATTAAAAACTGTAAATAAAGAAAAATCTAAAAAAGGAAAATCTAAGTTTGAAAAATAAGAACTCATTAGTCTGAGAAGTTAGCCAGGAGCCAGATGAGAGGAGGTCTTGAATGAGTCTGAAACCTCTCTGCAGGTCAAGAACGCTTAGTATCCTCCAGGCCAAGACCGGGAAGCCTAACCAGCAGTCCATCCCGGTGGCTAGATGCTGTCCCCATGGTCCCCTCCACATGACATCAACCCCCCCCATTTTCCCTGCAGAGGAAACAGCACGCAAACATGAATGAATGGTCCCTCCGCCCCGCCACCCCCAAGTCAATGAAGATCAATGAAACAGAATGGAGGGTCCAGAAATAAGCCTTTACATTTACGGTCAAGCAATTTTCCACAAGGGTGTTAAGTCATTCAATGATTTCTTTCTTTCTTTTTTTTTTAGAGTGAGAAAAAGGGAGGGAGAAAGAAAGAAAGAGAAACACCGATGTGAGAGCGAGATATCAATCAGCTGCCTTGCACACATGTCCCAACCCAGGCACGCGCCCTGACTGGGAATGCAGGACAACGCCCGGCCAACCGAGCCACGCCAGCTAGGGCAGGACATTTCATGGTTTCAAAGGGTGATGCTGAGACAACGGGGTGTCCACATGCAAAGCCGTGCAGCTAGACCCTGCTTCACATCATAAACAATACTTCACTAAACGACCTAAGTCCAAGAGCTAAAATTACCAATCTCTTAAAATAAAACATAGCAGCAGTCAATCTTCATGACCTTGGGGTAGGCAATGGTTTCTTCGCTATGCCACCAAAGGTAGAAGTGACCAAAAAGACAACCCACAAAATGGAATAAAATATTTGTAAACCACATGTCTAATAACAGACTTTTATACAGAATATATAAGGAATTCTTACAACTGAGCAATAAAAAGAACAATTACCCAATTTAAAAATGGACGAAGGATTTTCATAGACACTTCTGCAAAGAAGATACACAAATAAATGGCCAACCAGCAAATGAAAAGATGCTCAACACAGTAAGAAAATGCAAATCAAACCGCAATGAGGTGCCACAAGACACCCATGAGGGTGACTTAACAGAAAAGATGAACGAGTGTGGGCGAGGATGTGGAGGAATGGGAAGCTTCCCACGCTCCAGGTGGGAATGTAAACTGGTGCGGCCACTTTGGAAAACAGTCCGGTGGTTTGCGGTTGCCATCTGATGCTGCAATTCCAGTCTGGGGCACAGACCCAAGAGAACTGAAGTGTACATACGCACGCAAACTTGTCCACGCACGTTCACAGGAAGACTCTTCATAATGGCCGAAAGGAGGAAACAACTCAAACGTCCATCCACCGGAGAGTAGATTAACAAGGGGGAGCATATCCATACCATGCAGTAGCAATCAGCCACAAGAGAGAATGAAGTACTGATTCACATGACAACATGTATGAACCTTGAAAACATTACACTAAATGAAAGTCAGAAAAGACCCCATATCACATGACTGCATTTAAAGGAAGAGTCCGGAACAGTCAAACCCACAGACACACAAAATCAATGAGCAGCTGTCCTGGGCTGGGGGCGAAGCGAGGAATGAGAAATGAACACTGGTGCTTGCGCAGTTTCTTTCAGAGGCGATAAAATGTTGGATATGAAATTAGATCGTGATGATGGCTGCACGACTCGATGGGCATCTTAGAAACCACTGATCCTACACTTTAAATTGGTGAATTATAAGATTTAAACTACATTTCAAAACTATAAGAAAATCAGTAAGATTTGATCAAATATCAGCTACATGGGATAACACCGAGGAACTCGAGGACAACTTCAAGGTTTCCAGGTGGGATAAATGTTTTAAAAGCAGGAAACGTCAGGGCAGAAAGGCGAGGACCTCCCAGACAAAGTCGGCTTTGTGCGCGAGAGCTCCCGGGAAACACTGCCAGGTCTCCTGCACTGGCGGCAGGTCAGTCCCCACACCGTCTGTTAACAAGGCAGAGCACTTCGTCCGAAAGGGGGAGCAACTCCAAAGGCGGCTCGTCTGCCTTCCACCATTTGCTGCTCGGCCCCGTCCCCCATCAGAAAGTTATTATGTGTATAAGTCACCCCACAAAGCCACGGCTGTTGGCTCCGGATGGCTTCTGGCAGTGACCTAGAGTGATCAGTACCAGATGGATCTGAACATGACTCATCAAGTTGCACTTTCGAAAAGTGCGTGCCCAGACCAAGCTCCGACAGAATCTGAACCATCTTATACTTACTGACAACAGCTCAGGAAATCTAAAACTCTCACCTTTTATTTAGTCAATGTAACTACAACTAGCATCTAAGAAAATATCTAAAAATGATTTATGGTCTCAGGGGAGAAAAGCTACACATTGACAAGCCAGAAGTACACATCATCAAACAATGAAGATAAACTGATCATTTTATTTCTCCATTTTAGGCTCAGCCATACTTGTCAGAAGACCTGTCCACTCCAGGGAGGCAGAAAAATTTTACCCTTTTTTGTGTCTGCATCTTTAACCACTAAGATTTAGTGTGGGGAACACCATCAGACATGTTTAACAACAGTCAAGTAATGAAGAAACCCACGTTCCACAAATTAAACAAAAAGCTGCTGAGGACACGGCCTATATCCCTTCTACTACCATCCCAGAGAAGCACATTTTTAAGGTATAAACTAGTGGGGGGTTGGGGGGGCAGATGTGAGCTAGGTGTGATATTCAATAATTTTCCTTATAGAATGAAGAAGAAAAAAAGCTGCTAATTCTTTACTGAGCCAGTGAACTAAATGGGGACAATCGGGAAAATTTAGCAGGTCGGACTCCAGAAAGAGGCGCATCAGGTAGAACTGGTTTGCTTATTCTCAAAGACACCAAGTCAAATATTCAAATATCTTATGAATATCCGAGAGTAGTCATCAGGCAAAATAGGAATACCTAATTAAATAAATGAAATCACAAGGTACATGGCTTCTTCCCACGGAACGTGCGACCTACGCTAGGAAGACAAGACTGAAATCCACGAAGGCGCAGTGAGCGAAACACCGCAGGTCGCCAACGCACAGCCTGACCGGCCGCATAGTTTAAGTGCTTTGTGTTAAAGATCCGATGTAACTCACACTAACCTAATAAATGAGAAAAGTCATATGGTCGGCAGGTGGGGAAAGAGCATGGTAAAATCGGCAGCCAAAAACCCTCAAACTATCAGAAATAGAAGAGAACCCCTTAGTCTATCGGAAAATAATCAGAAACACAAACCTCGCTGAAGCCAGGGAACATTTCCACTACAAGGAGAAACAAAAGTAGGATATCCACTCGCATTACTTCTTTTTTTAAATACATAATCTTTATGCTTTTTTTTCATTACCATTTAGCCCTCTTATACGCCCCCTAACCCTGCACACTCGTGACTTGTACTGCAAGTCCAAGCTTGAAAAGGGAAAGGGGATAAAAATCGGGAAAGAACACAGAACTGTCATTTTCGCCTTCACTGGGGACATGACTGCCTTCCCTCCAGTGCTGCCTTCCCTGAGTCACTCCCAAGTGACCGACAGACAGAAGACAGGCAGACTGCTAGAGCGCTATCAATGCGACAAAACTACCAGAATTTCCCTATATCAGCAACAACTAACTTGAAAATGTAATTTCAAAAAGGCTGCCACTCACAACAACAAAACTCAAGAGTACCTGGACATAAATTTTAAAAAACCAGGGGCAAGACTAGTACCTAGATTTTTTTTAAAAAAATGATGAAACACATGTACGTCCTAATTAAATGGACAGATGGATCAGAACAGTGTAAAGGTTTCAGGAACTTAAAGTCCTTGGAAGGCTTGTGAACAAAACGATGGGAGTTGGGCCATTAAGAGTATTAGAGAAGGCAAAAACAAAACACAAAACACAAACCCATGGGAGGCACGAAAGCAACCGTCCACAGGCTGGCACAGACTGGCAGGTTTAGCCCAGCCAATTCCAAACAGAGGGCACACGCTGACGGGCAGTGGGGACGGAAAATGGGGCCAGGGGTTACGATCTGGTGTGGAAGGACACGGGTCACTGGCAGTTTGTGAGCACGGGAACAGGCCGCTGATTCCGGATAACGCTCCAGCAGCTGCAGGAGGACCAAGGGCAGCGAGGGAGGGAAGCACGCACAGAGCTGGAGGCGGCGGCCTTGCTCTTCTCTGCTCAGACCACGTCGGCAGTGGCACCTTTCAAACAGAATTCCCAACTAGACTATTCAGAGAAGGGTAACCAGCCTGAACCTGAATCATAAAGAAACAGAGATGTCTAGCCTAAAGAAGAGACTGATGGGGTGGGTGAGGCACCAAGTTATGCTCTTTATATGTGTAAAGGGTTGTCTGCAGGCCAGAGTTGCTGTTTATCACGAAGGAGAACTAGGTAAGGAGACGCTGACCGAAAACGAACGTGATGACCTGTGGGAGTACTGAACCTGCTGTCACTGGAGGTGACCAATCACAAACTGGATGCCCTTCTCATAGTGGAGACGGAAGCATGAGCGTGTCAGCTGAACTGGAGAACCTAAAACAACTTCCCAACTCAAAACCTACATCTCTACACCAGGTAGGCTAGCGTAGCTCGTCCAAAGGTGGGGTAAAAAAGACCTGCTCTATAAACTTGGCAGTGGGAACATAAAGACAGAACTTTCCACAACATGAGTAATGATGAAGACTTGATGGCTTAAAACAATAGCTGCACTTACTGAATGCCTACCAGGTGCATTCCAGCTCTCTTTCATGAATTAATTCAAGCTCTTCACAATCTTACAGAGCAGGTCCAGTTACTGCCCAGTTTGTATGGAGGAAACCAAACCACAGATCAATTAAGTAACTTGTTCAAAATTACACAGCAGGTAAATATATGTGCCAGGCACACCAGCTAGATGATATGGAGAATGAAGAAGGGAAAAAAATAAGATTATGTCAATATTTCAAATGGTAGAAAGCCAGGACCAGGGAACTAAGAAAGAAGCTGGGTGTGGCTGGCAGGGTGGGAGGAGGTGATGGGTCCAGGTTACGTGGAGGCTGAGATGGAAGATATGACAAGAGATGTTCAGTGGGCAGTTTTCATTTTCGCCAATAACTTATTGACTGGGATATATGAGTACATTGGCTCTCTCCCACTATTGGCTTCTAGTGGGTGGAGGCCAGGGGTGCTGCTCAGCACCTTCCAATGCGTAAGACAGCCCCACAGCAAAGGGTTATTTAGCCAAAATGTCAACAGTACTGAGAAACTTCACAGACCACTTCTGACTCGTTCTATCAGTCACAGCACCTTCTCCGTACACTGCAGAAATCTTTTTTTTGCATTTCGGTTGCATTTTTACCTTTCCTGAAATAATAAAGCATTATACACCAAAAATGTTGCATATCTTCTATCTTCAATATTAAAATGGCTACACAAAAATTCACCAATTTTGATTCGGTTTTTTTAAATGCATGCTAACACGACAGCTGTCACGACACAATCTAACAAAATTGTTTCAAATGAAGTTAAAAGACATCTAAGCACTACCAGAGCCATCCTATAGAAAAAAACTAAATGAAATTCTTGGCCAACCCAATAATTCTTTGCGGTGGGGCTGTCGTACGCATCGGGAGATGTTCAACAGCTCCGCTGGCCTCTACCCGCTAGTAGCCAATAGTGGGAGAGAGCCAACGTCCTCAAAATATCCAAATCAGTAGTTATTGGTGAAAATTAAAAATGTGTCTTTTATTTTACAGAAAAAACTGCACAGACTTTTCAGCCAAGCCAGGGCACTGTGATTAAGGGAGGGGCCACGGCAGTAACCAGAGAGGAAAGCCACAGGAGGGTAAGAACACGTTCTCGAGACCGGATGCCGGGCACGTATTTGAATCCCAGGAGGAATGGACAGTTTATAAGCAGCACAGCCGTGGGGAGTGCATTTCAAATAGTGCCCAAGAAAATGACAACGGCAGGGAGCATCATGCAGGGTGCCCACACGTGTGACACTAGTGCCCATGCATAACTCGTGACTGCTCCCTCACCGCCAAAAGGCTTCCCTTCCCCTACACTTCGGAGGATACATTACCCCGTTTCTGAGAAGAAACAACATCAGAATTACTGATACCTTGTTGATGAGAGACTAAACATGTCTGAGTCCTTAGTAAGTGTCCCTGCTTTCACTACCTTAATGTGTTAACTCATTTTTAATCCTCACAACAAAGCCATGAGGTAGGTTTCCATTGTCTAATGTGGAAACTGAGGCACCGAGAATTTCAATAAGCCGCCCAACTTCCCACAGCTTAAAAGTGATGGAGCTGGGGTTCAAACCCCGGAGTCCGACCTCATAAACACTAGGACACGACAGCTGGTCGAGGGGTAAAAGCTGGAGGGGACCTGAGGGATCTTCTACTTCAGCCCCACCGTTTTACACCTGAAATGGCTAAAAGCAAACAGACTTGCACAAGTGGACCGAGGTGGTGAATCGCTGGACAGAGGTAGAATCCAGGTGAAAAGTAATTCTAGCCACTTCTTTCAGCAGGTGCAGTGAGAAGAGAGGGCTAGCCTTATTTCGGGGCTGGGAATTTAACAAACGGCTTCAACCTCTCCACTTAAATGCAGAGAATTCTGAATTCTCAGACCAGTCCCATCCATATTTATACACAGCACAGATTTATTCCAAACCCAAATAAACTTCCTCTGCAAAAGCACTTGGGATGTTAAGGATAATTGAATCCATGTCCTTCCATCTTATCAAGGAGCTGCAGCTGGAGGCTGGCTCTCAATTACACACTTTGGGGCAAACTGATACTGTTTTTAAACTGTTTCCTACAACTAAATAACAGTAATTACTTGTTACTCCTAGTCAGGACACTAGAGAAACTTCCAGAGACAGAGGAGCAGCCCTTAGTTGGGCAATTTATGTCAAGGATATCCCCTTTTGGCCTCTAGAATTCAAAATCAATTACCATCTCAAAAAGCAGAGCAGGGGCATTTCCCCTAATCTCTTTGATAAAGAATGTAACATTTGAGAAAGCACCTCATCCCCAGAGTACCAGATTCCCATCAGTCACCTGGAATATGTTACAATACCTGCCTCTTATTTGAGGTAGAAAGCATCCATGTTGAGGGCACAAAAATTTGGAAGAAAGACTCTCTTCGAAATCTGATTGGCAAGGCCACCTGAAACCTTCACCAGGTAATCTGGAATACACCGAGCTTTGCCAGAAAACCCATTTTTAACTGAAATAAAGAGCCCCAAGAAATAATCTGTTTAGTCATGGTAACAGTCACTTTCCCCGGAAATGAAAACTTCGGAAAAACCACTTGTAGATCAGGGTCTGACTCATGCCAGCAGCCAGCTGTCCTCAAAGTCTGGAAGCTGCGACCACAGACCGACGAGGGCTCCCGAGCCTCCAGCTCTGACTCAGTGTTTCCGCGCCTCTGAAATGGCTTACTATGGTAACTTAAGAGTTTATTCCCAGCCCTCCTGCGTCCTCAGAAACGCCAACCAGCAAGGCCCCAAGTCCGGACGGGGCCTGTCCGTGCCCGGGCGGGAGGACAGAATGGGAGATGGTCCCGATAAGACATAAGGACCCAAAAACTTTATCACGAGGATGACACAGGCACCCAGGGTAAGTACAATGGCTCTCAAAATGCATGGTCTGACGCATGAAAGTTTTAGGGACTTGAATGGCTGCAGAAAAAAATAACCGCGAGGCAGAAATAAAACTCGCAGCCCACCCGGGAGGCAACGAGCAGGCCCGGGGGCTGGGGACCCGCGGGGCCACGCCCATGCCCACCCCCCAGGCCGGCTCGGTGGGGTCCGAAGCCCCCAGGGGGCCCTGAGCCGAGCCCCCGGCCCGCTCCTCGGTAGCTCCACTCACCAGGAATTGGAGCATGATGTCAGTGAAGAAGGCGAGGAACGGAGGTGTCAACTCGAGGGGCCGTTCCTATCTTGCCTCCCCAGGTGCCAGGGGCGGGACTCGCATCAGCTTCCGGGTCACCCCACTCCCCGCCCTCCTAGCCTCAACTCACCCGGAAGTTGCTAAAGGCGCCCTAGCTCCCCCTGGCGGAGCGTTCTGAAATTATCCCTTGAGTGGGTCGACCAGTGAGAAAGCCAGGGTAAGATCAGTCAATCCCAAATCCCAAGCTGGGCTGTACAGCTTTGAACATTCAGAATCCGAGGCCCCAGTCCCAATATCCCGCTTCTGTAACGCTGGGTCGGAGTCCCGGAATCTGCATTATTAGTACCAGCACCCCAGCGATTCTGCTGCACAGCCAGGCAGATTCCCATCCCCTGGCTGGGATGCAGAGCAGGATCGCCACTGGAGCTTTGGGGCCTAGTCTTCCCCGGGCCCCATGCAGAATCTGTGGGAGGTGAGGAGGGTTGTTTTTACAAAAGTACCACCGGTACGCTATGTAACCTGACCTGAGGTCCTAGGATACAGGTTCGGTGCTTAAGAAGTTAAGATGGAGACCTTTGGAATTGGACATTTCACCATGGCCTTGCACTTCCTGGCAGCCGGGAACAAGTTACTGAGTTTGCTTTCCTTCTCCGTAAACGAGGCTTAACACCTTGCTGATTTGTTGCAGGGATTAAATGAGACAGTGTGAGGGACCGAAAATTGCTTGTCATGTGTCTGGTGTGGGCAGTGAGCTCTGGAAGAGGCCTCATGTCCTCTATCCACTGGCACCTACCCTGACAGTGTGGGCCACCTCTGCTCCTGGTCCTCCACGACTTCCATCAACACACACGCTTACAAAGCAAGTCACCTTTCTCTCTGCATTCAGCTTTCTGAATTCATCTTTACCTGCTATAAAAAGTAGAACTCCGGTTCCAGATAATAACCACCAAATCGCAGGAGTTTTAACCATATGGGGGTGTACTATAAAGTGGACAATGATGAGGGGTACAGGAAAGCTCCGAGAATGTAAGCATGTTTCTCTCCATTTCTGTTTTCTTCATGCAACTGCTTCATTGTTCTCTTTGCCTTCCATTTTTTCCTGCTTTCTAGAATATGTTCCATTGTAACACTTCTTTGAGCTTACTTGTTAAATGGTCCAACCAATAGAAGACTGGATGACTCTTTCCTAACCATTTTCAAATGCCTGGGAAAAGAAGGCAGACTGGTCAAGCTGGTGTCAGATTCTCCCAGGCCAATTACAATGAGAAGGGGTGGGGTCTCCTTGAACTGAAGTGGCTGCCACCAGGGAGGACATGCTGGTAGATGGCTCTAACACATTCTGTTTCCCAACACGTCGAGGGTAAGTCCTGACCAGGGCTTCTCAAACTTTAATGTGCAGACAAATCACCTGGGAATCTCATTAAACTGCAGGTTCCAATTCAGGACATCTGAGTTGGGGCCTGCCATTTTGCACGTCTGCTAAGCCTCAAGTTATGCAGCTACTGGTGGTCTGTGGACTGTTTTGAGTTGTAAGACACCAGACTGTGGGCTACATGAGGGTCAGGACTTCATCCCTTTGGTTCATGACGTCATCTGCCCAGAGAGTGCCCAGCACAACCTCTGAAAACAAATATTTATTGAAGTCTTTGCATGAACTTTATTCCCTTCTTACAGATAAAGTCTTAAGTGAAGCCTGACTTTTTTTTTTTAAGTTTTTAAAAAATTTTTTGATTTACTGTTCCACTTGCTCAGGCATTCATTGGTTGATTCTTGTATGTGCCCTGACCAAGGATTGAACCCACAATCTGGAGGCATCAGGAAGATGCTCTAACCAACTGAGCTACCAGGTCAGGGATAAAGCCTGACTTTTTTTGCCAACACCTTTCAGAGGCTCTTCAGTTTCTCAAACCACCATAACCGTGGAAAAGAAAGGCAGAATTTCTTTGCTATTTTGAGATTTTTACTTAAATGTCCTCATGTAAAAACACCTCCTTGCTCTGGCTGGTACGGCTCAGTTGGTTGGGTGTTGTCTCACAAACTGAAAGGTCACCTATGCAATTCTGGTCAGGGCACATGCCTGTGGTTTGCAGGTTTGGTCCCCAGCTGGAATGCATCCTGGAGGCGGCCAATCAATGTTTCTCTCCCTTCCTCTCTCTTAAATCAAAAATTAAAAAAAAAAAAAACTCCTTTAAAGAATATTCACATTCTCCCTTTATTCTTTCACGATGCCTTAATCTACTGACTTCCTAGGCAGCCCTCTCATTCACTGAAGGCTTTGGCATCTGACAGCCCCGCTTTCAGCCCCAAGCTCTCATACTTATGGATGACTTCACAGGCCATGTACACATGTATTTTCCAGAATCCTAACTCCTAGTAGTGGCCTTCATCCTCACACCACGTCGGCAATCCACTGCCGTGTTTCTACTGCTCTTTTTCCTCTCCTGGACCTCGTCCACCTATGCAGTATGAATTCTCAAATTGGACCTCCAATCCTACCAACTTTGACCTTAGCCAGATCTGCAGTTTCTCACGTTTCATAGGAGTTCTCTTCTGGCTTTCCTCCTTCTCTCTCTGATCTGAACCCCAGGAGACTGGAACTTCAGTCAAGGTGTATTAGCCTCAGTTCTCTTATTGATTGTTCTTCTATAATGCTAGCCTTTTAAAAATTCTAATTCTGCCCTGGCTGGTGTAGCTCAGTGGACTGAGCGCAGGCCTGTGAAGCAAAGGATCGAGGTTCGATTCCCAATCGGGGCACATGCCTGGGTTGCAGGCCAGTTCTTGGTGGGGGACACATGAAAGGCAACCACACGTTAATGTTTCTCTCCCTCTCCCCTTCCCCTCTCTCTGAAAATAAATAAAATATTTTTTTAAAAAGAAGAAAATATTCTAATTCTTAATCAATCTGCCTGCTTCAGTTCCATACCAGTGATTCTGAACATCAAATAGAGAAAAGATGGATCATTCAGCAAATGATACTGACCTAACTTGGTTCATTGGTATTTTTTCCACCTGGAAAAATTAATAATTTGGGTTCTGATCTCACACTTTACAAATAAAAAGTTACAGATCAATAACAAATTAAACAAAACAGAAATATTAAAATTCCTAGAGAAAAAGAAATTATTTTATAACCTCCAAATTGGAAGATTTTTCACATGACCAGCATGACACAAAATGCAAAAGTCATAAAAGAAAAAGTAAAATCAATGACATAAAAAGAAAACTTTTTTATATGGCAAGAAAAAGAAAAACATCACTTGTAAAATAACTGACAAAGAGCGCCTACAAATCAATAGACCAAAATCCAATAAAAAGTGGTCAAAGGATGTGAACAACTCATAGAAAAGGACACAGAAATAGCTCAAAGATGTGGAAAGATACTCAGGGGTGTTCATACTCAAAGAACCATAAATCACTACCATTTTGATCCTAATTGGCAAAAATCAAAAGACTTGATAACACACTGTCTTTAAAAGAATGGAGAACCAAGCACAGCTATACAATTCTGATAAGGATACAAATTGTTAAAACTTCCTTGGAGAGCAACTTAGCCAAAACAATTATAAATTTAAATGAGCATACCCTCTGTCTCAGCAATTGCATGAAACTATTTACGCTCAAAAACATACAAAGAGGTGAGTGGAACAGAACAGAGAGCCCAGAAATAGACTCTCATAAACACAGTCCACTGATCCTTCACAAAACAACAAAGGCAGCACAACGAAGCAAAGCTAAGGCTCTTCAAGAAAATGATGCTGGAACAGTTGGACATCCACAAGGGAAAAAAAAAAAAGCTAGACACACACATTATACCCTTCACAAAAATTAACTCGAAATGAATCATATCACCCTGGCTGGTGTGGCTCAGTGGACTGAGTGCCAACCTATGAAGCAAAGGGTCGCCTGTTCCATTCCCAGTCTAGGGCGCATGCCTGATACTTCATTAAAATGAAAACCTTCTGTTCTGCAAAAGACAACAGAGTTAGAAGAGAGAAAATATTTGCAAAAAGTGCATCTGATAAGAGGACTGTGCATTACCTAAAATGCACAAAGACACCCAACAATAAAACAAGCTGATACTAAAAAGGGGCCAAAGACCTACATAGAAACCTCATCGAAGATAAACAAACAGCAAAGAAACAAATGAAAATCTGCTCCCCATCACATGTCATCAGGGATATGCAAATTAAAATGAGATACCACTTCACACCTAGTAGACTGGCCAAAATCCAGAAAACGGACACCAAATGCTGGTGAGGATGCAGAGCAACCGGATCTCACACATGCTGGTGGGACTCGAAGTGGTGCACGGCTTTGGAAGACAGTTTGGTGGTTTCCTACAGAACCAAACAGACGCGTAAATACGGTCCAGCAGTTGTGCTCCTGGTATCCACCCACAGGAGATGAAAACTCACATTCGCAGAGCAACCTACACAGGGACCTTTGCAGCAGCTCCGTTCCGAACGGCTCCAACTTGGAAACAAGCAAGACGTCCTTCGCAGGTGAACACCTAGATAACCTATGGTACTTCCAGACCACGGAATGTTATTCAGCACTAAAACAGGAAGAAAAGAGCTATTAGGCTGTGAAGAGACAAGGAGGAAGCTTAAATGCATATTACTAAGTGAAAGAAGCTAGTCTAAAAACGCTATCTACTGTATGATTCCAACTATATGAAATTCTGGGTAAGAGAAATCAATGGAGACAATAAAAAAAAACCATTGATTGCCAGGAGTAGGGTGTGGGTAAATGAATAGGAAGAGTGCAGAGAATTTTTAAGGCAGTGGAAAGAAAATACTCTGTATATTTTGATGAGGAATATAGCTCATTAGTCATTTGTCCAAGCCCGGAGAATGTAGTAAATCCCGGGTAGGCACAAATGTTCAAGAAGTATTTTGGTGGCAACGGAGGATATTTAAATATGAACTAAATATCACACAATTTCACTGTGAAATGTCCTACGTGTACTGACGATATTGTGCCTAGGGAGGAAATATCCCTGCTATTACTTGCTGAAATACTACAGGAAAAAGTGCCACGACGCACACATGACTTTCAAACAGTTAAGAAGACCGATGGGCGCACATATGAAAGA